CATTCGACCATGTTCACAGCTTGACAATTACACCTTGTAATAACATATATTGCACGATTACGGTACATATCGCATGTGATCGGCAAAACAACCAATTAACTGAAAACGACAAATGGATTTACATCTAAGCAAAACGACTTTAATTACACGGCAATTTTAGCTCTATTTTCCGATGGACATCCGCTTCTCTCCGCCCACATTGGACGAGTTCTATTGATGGATTACAGGGATTTGGCTTGTAGTCTAATCGTAATTGAGTCTCCTTACATCCATAATCAATACCTTTTTTCGCTTTAGTTCTCAGATCAACCATTCAGATTTCATAAATGTCACTGAGGAAATCGCGCTAAATGAACAATACTCGTCCTACTGGACTTCAAAATGTTGCAAGAAAAACTGATGAATTAATCCTAATTTTAACTTATTATTTACTGCCTACTCTTTTTAACGGCAGGGTATACATTGTGAAGTATAATTTCAATGATGCTGAGATATTTGCGAAACTCTGGACCGCAGGTGTATGCGGTGGGGAACGAACGCGCTAATGTCCTTTCCGGGGAGTAGAGCATTCACGACCACACCACGCGGGTCCTACGTTTCGCCTGTCTCTCAGCTAGTTCTATCGATCTTTTGCCATCAGCAATCACTCGTCAGCGGAATTGATCTGAGGGGCCCAAATCGGCAACGACGTGTGGACGGATGGACGGACAACGAATCGAACACACGAAGTCCCGGTTTCTACCCAGTAAACGTGATGAGTTGTGCAAAATAAAAAAAAAATTAGGCAACGGTCACATCATTCAAGATACGACGAATGCACTCTGTATCCACCTCAAAGCAAAACTTCCAAAATCCTCTAGACTTATTGATCGTAGCAATCCAAAACGAGATCTAAAAAAGACAGTAATGACGACTATCTTCCTTCTGACCAACGGATTATGTTAGATACCCACCACATACACCTGCGGTCGGAGTTTGCAAATATCTCAGCATCATTGAAGTTATATTTCACACTGATCAATTATTTATTCGGCAGTTATCGTATCCCTTTTGAGGTCGAAAGAAAAATAAACTCTTGTTTTAGATGATTACATTTTGTCGATCAATGGCTTTTGATTGGAAATTTATCAGAGGTTGCCCATATTCTATGTAGTAGCTTTTAACGAGGTGCAGAATAGTTACATAAGTCTAATTCTACAGAATAGATCTCAATCTCACTTCAGCCTTGAATATACAGAAACCTATTCCTTGAATTCGACTTCCAAGAATCGGATCAAAATCAGACAGCTCTAATTGTAGATGAAATATGAAATTGAAAAATTCACCTCTAGAGCTACCGTAATCGATTAATCAGTGCCCCGTATGAAAGTCATGGGCAACGAGCTAAACAACCTATTCATCAAAATAGATCCCTTCAATGTGAGCGACTGATAAAATCGTTAAGATATTCCCCAACCCAGTTGTGTTCTCGGGATTTCGCTACAAACCTTTGTGATGCATGACAATTAGCCGATCGACGGCCGATACGCCCTTGAGATTCGAAAGGTTTTTGTAGTTACGCGTGTTTAGATCATCGTATTGCCAATTTTCTTCGTTGGATCTTTTGCTACCAGTGATTGTCAGCAAAATGTCGACATGCTTGTTTAATTTTCGTAGCGTCCCACGTAAACTCGTCCTTGCCGAAATTGAGTTCGCTTTTTAGCGTCGCGAATGCCGCTTCGTCGCAGCGATGAACTCGATGATCTACAATGAAATATACATATTTTATCAAATAATTGAACAACATACATTCACTTTGTCATGAAGAGTATACTTCGTTAAAATCGTATAGATCGACTACTTGTTGCACTCATTTCGCGCCAAACATAAATATCTACTATAATTCGGTTTTCGCTTCAAGACTGCATGCCAATGAACGACTATAAATGTTAACAAAGATATATTTAATTAAATGTTTCTATAAACTGTTCTTACTGAGCTGGAGTGAGGTTGGTATAAGTTTTCGCTGTCGCGGTTGTTATTGTTGTTGTCATCGGTCGATGGCTGACGTCTCGGCAATTTCGCCATCCTCAGAACCGTGCTGTTACGAGTAGGTCCTACACGGTTCTGAAGAAGCAGAAACTACGACAACAGCGAACAACAAAGAACAGCGATAACGTAAACTTATACCAACCTCGCATCAGCTCAACAAGATCAGTTTATAAGATATAAACAAATATATTAACTATTATGTAGACGTTTATGGAAGGTCGGTCTTTTAAACTTTTAAACAAAGATTGTGTAACATTTGTGGCTTAAAAATATATTGTGGAAAGGATGTCCTGATATGAAAATAACTACTCTCGTCATAGACTTGAACAGAAGGTACGCTCTAACTTATCTTCTTTCCTTAAAGCACTCTCAAAGCTCAGTAGCTCACCGAAAATCACAAATTCTAACCACTTAAGAAAAAATAACTTTTCCAATTTGGTTGAATAGTATCAGATCACAGATAGTTTACGAATACATCAACTTCTATGGCTCATAAACCACTATCAATCGTAGAACCGGACGACGGTGGCGGTGGTGGTGGTGGTGGTGGTGGTGGAAGTGATGGATACCGAGGCCGATGCTCAGTATCAGTGTCCTCGTCATCGTCATCGTGGTGTGGTGAAGGTGTAGTGTATGGCGAACGATGACTTTCACATTCCACACGGACACGTTTGTGTTTCGTACGACGATTTTGAAACCATACCTTCACCTAAAAAGTAATCCGTTACTAAATTACGCTGTCATGGATTAACCGGTGAACTGAACAATCCCAGTGAACACCTGGGTTTTGCAGCAAAGTCGCGTTCAGTAGACATTCCGTCCCGTCACGATCCAATCATTTCAATTAGTACAAATTAAAAGTGACTACACCTTAGTAGATTAAATCTAATAATTTGATGATTAGGCCTGTTTGATAAGCAAAAGTTGGTGGCCGGAAATAGTCAGCCAGGAGATTCGGATACAGTGACCTTACAATAAAATTAATTTAGCCGTCGATCTTAAAACCTAATCTGCAACAACGTCTAGTCTTTCTATCGCCTGCCCATTGTGTTCACTTTAGCGAGTAGAATCACAAAGAATTGCTTGCCGTTTGAATTCCTTTCGTTAATAATACTAATGAATAATCTGTACGATCAACATTCATGAAGGGAACTAACTACAAATTGTTTAAGTATTCGATTTAACAGAATCACATGATCATTCGAATATTCGACTAAGAAGTTGCTGTACAGGAGTACGCCTGAAAGTTCTAGAAAGCGTGCAAGTTCCCTAGTGCTTGTCAGGAAGCGTCAGAGCTCCCGTCAGTGTGCAAACATTTTGAGTGAAACGGAGACAATTCGGCGCCGATGTTGACCAGCTTCTTGTCGTTCGGTCTATCTTCATAATGACACTTGAATACACTGTAATCGCATCGGGTTACCGTAGTTACCGATCGAAATCGTTTCGTTAACTGCCAGCGATTTAACAACATTTTGACGCCACATATAATTAACGATCCCTTATCGCCTAGAAATCAGTTGCTATTAAGCAACAAGAAGCAATAAGAACTCATTATAAGAGAAAATTTGCTTAGTTGCTAGGAAATAAAGCAAAAGCCGTTACCATTCTCACACCCAGCAATGGTTTGCCACCTTAATGTCTAGATCTGTTCTGGATGTGCACACGTAACGATGTACAGCTAAAACTTCACCCTCCCGCTGACCTAAACTGGAACAAGGTTTTACAATCCTGGCGCCAAACTAGGCACAAACCAGTGTTGAAGATCGTTGCCATTCGGTAGAAACCTAGTCAAAACGCGGGACACCTCACTCCAGTCAGTCCACAAGGGCCCATGATTGCTCGTGATAACTACCTGGAAACACACTGGCATGGATTTATTGTGTGTTCGGAGAAAACTTTTGTCCAACCAGCAACGGATAGAGCAAATGAAGAATTTACAACGGCTCGAACGATCATTCGCGAAGATGAACCGTTTAATTATATATTCAAGAAATAACCGCGCATCAATTTCCTTTCCATCGCCATCTCGAGCTTCATTTTTGTTCTCTTTTTTCGTAAAACACAAACACAATGATCTATTTAATCGATCCCTGATTTAATCGCCTCTTTTCTGTTCGGTGTCGTATGAGATATTTGTGTCTCATACTCTTACTCAAGTTGACTTTCGTCAGTTGCAAAAAAAGTCGGGTTTCTATTTTCGAAACTCAGATTAAAAAATGTTAAAAGACGTCGAGTTATGAAGAAATCAACCAGGTCAAAACAGCATCCATCCAATATTACAATAGATCGCCGTTTATGTGTGGAACTTCGTCGTGGGACCATCGAACTTTCGTGTTCTAAGGGCTAGAGATAGATCTGCGACATTTCGTATAAAGCAAGAAGCTGCATTTTTTAATGAAGCTATGAGGTGGATGAATTTTGTCGTATGAATCAACAAAATTAAACAAATTCATATATTTGCAACAAAAGGACACATTGATAACAAAAGACCTTGTTGAAAAACCCTGAAGTTGTGCTAGAAGAAAAAAACCCGACGTGAACAATCCTATGAAGACAGCTGGTCCCTCACAACTGATCGAAGCCTACTCGAAGATCTTCTCACTATGGCAATCGTCAATGTGTTGAAGTAGAAGTGTTTAAAGTCTTTCAACAATTACTTAAAGAAACACACCGTAATCCTCGTAAACACATCTATCAATGAGCAGTTATGTCTGGCTAGAAGAAAAGCAAGCAGAAGTAATCACTGCTCCCTCTCCCCATCATTTTTTATCATTCATGTTTCTGTTTAGTTTTCAGTCATTCATACAATCAATTTCGCTTTTAGCTCGTTACAGTATCACTAGTTTTTTGACGATGCCTTTGAAAATGTCCTAGTAGGGACGCGTTTTCGTTTGCTTTTTACCACTGTTTTTCTTACCGTCATATATCCTAATAAACTTCTTACACTAGTAAGTGCGACATCCAGTTTTCTACCATGAGCTCATAGAAACCAATATTTCAGTCAAAAAAATCTCTGAAATAATAGGAAACTGATAGCTGACCTGAGTTTCAGAGAGCGCTAGACGATGGGCGAGCTGTTTTCTTTCAGTGCCGACAACATAGTGATTTCCTTCGAAAGCTCGTTCTAATTGAAGAAGTTGAGACGGTGAGAATGCGGTACGAATACGTTTATTTTTTCGGAGTGGTTGTAGAAATAATCCGGCAGCAACATCACCTGAAGTGAAGGACGAAAAGTCTGCAAATGGATACGGTAGTCGTAGCGGACAAAGATAATGGGTAAACGGTAGTTGTAATAGACACTGAAAATCAATGATCATTGACTGATTGTTCATTGACATCACTTTCGTTGGTTTCTTTTTGTTTTTGTCGTTTCATTTAAAAGGAGTTATTTTGTAGCAAAAAAAAATTTGTATCTCATTAAAACAGCACAACACAATGCACTAAACATCACAGTATATAATAACGCCGATAAAACATGATGATAAGTGATAATGCCTACACTTCTATGATATCCTACTGTCAAAACATTTTTTGACATCATAAGTTAAAATGCGTTTATAATAAGAAAAGACATTTTGCTCGTCGCAGATTCTTTCACGGATTCTAATTATATGAAATTTCTTGAACCGCTGTATCGTCTCGGGACTAAGTAGAGCGTTAACGTGTGGTGCGCAAAAGGTTGTGGACGAACGAAAACCAACCGTGTACTTTCGCTGATGCGTTGGAGGTGTATTAATGGTCGGCGTTCTACTTTTTCTACCGCGGCGGATTAATCTATATGTCCCATATCCACATAATCATACCCATATACGTGTTTGGTGTACATGCGTGTTTAGGAATTCTATCTTAAATGTCAATTCGGCGAACAGCCTGTTATTATATGACTGGGAATTCAATAAGGAATAGTTATAAAACCGCCTTTAAGAAAGCAAAACTTCGTTTTCCAAAGTTTCTGATAAGCTAACCGTGGATCTACTCTGTTACTATGGCTAAGTCAAACTATATGCTCTGGCTACTCTATCAACAACAATAGATCCCGGAAGGCAGCCTTTGATATGTGGGATAGGGAGATGAAGGATGACTTTACTGAGCAGGGAGGCACTCAGCTTTGGCTGACTAATCGTGGTTGTACTACATGCTTTTAACAACAAAAGAATAAATACCAAGATTAAACGAAGATATCAGCGAGTACTCTACAATGTAGAGAAAGTCTGCTGAAGAAACAAGAAGTACTTTTGAAAGACTAATGGTTGCAGTCGTACGATGGTTTTTCAACAGTAGGACATCGAGCAAAAGTTTTATAGTTTTCCTGATTTAGTTGTCGTAAATAGATGACTATATAGAAGTACAGGTGAACTGTGGACTGAAGATTGGAACGAGTAACGAATCACCGTCACAGTAACCTTTGCTTGAATGGTGTCATTTGATTTCAATGATGCCTCAGGATGGTATAAAAATGTACAAATCAGTTAAGATGCAAAAGAAGTTCGACAAATATTAACGCTCTAGTACCTTCCAGCTTTAAAAAGTTTGACTCGGTCCTATGAGTATCCACTTTAGCGTTGCTTCAAAATATTATTTAAGAATAATCGGCTGGTTGGGAATGGTTGGGAATCGGCTGACGCAGTGGTAACGATGCCGTTCATCGCGAACGTCGTGCTGGTTGGACCCCAAATCAGGTCGACCAAACCTCTTATCCATTCCAGATCGAAAAACTGGCGGTAGAGTTGCCCGAGAAGAGTTCATTCTCTGGAATTCAATTGAGCACGCTCCAGCACGGCTTTCCCAAGACCATAGTGGAAATCGCCTCAACCAGAATTCAAAGACGTTCATCAAGGAGAAGCCTCAAGAGCAGCAGTTAGACCAACACGTGAAGAATTCGAAGACCTTAATGGCTAATGGACACCAGAAACGTTCAATCGAATACTAGAATTGCTTGGATCCGCGCAGTAAAGGTGAAGACGAATCTTGTAAAATACAATAAAAATATTTAGCACTCTTATTGTTACTTTATGTCTTCATTGTTTTCCCCACATGTGTTCAAATTTTAGCAATAATAATAAAAATAACTGCTGTAAAGTAAGAATAAACCGGAGTTGACCACAAAGACGTCAGACCTTTACAAAAATTCAATGTTTAGTACTCTAAAGATGTCTTTCGCCATCAGCTCAATGATTTACTGTGAATTTACAGTAATTACGATGATAACAACCGCAACTATCGTAATACGAACGATTACTGGTTGAGGAATGATCGTATACACTTGACATTTGACCCGATTTTACTAGTTTTAGCAGCAACGATGGTGAAGCGCTAATCCTTAAGCTAAGAGACAAACGGATGAACTGGCCCGTTAGCAAACAATCATTACAAAGACACTTAGTGCACCATAGATCGGTAATTGTAAGCCACCACTATGGTAATATATTTGCTTACACGGCGACTACGACGGCCACAACCACAACGACGGTGAAGAAGCAGTTGATTTAGTTTCGATGGCGCAGAAAACTTATATGAATGTTTTTCAACTAAATGCCACTGGAAAATTGGCATAGGTGTTCCATAAGAGAGCATACAACGTAATTAACAATGAAGAAGAATACTAGTACAAGCTGAACAAATCATTCGAAACTATAAAAAAGAGTCAATTTTCTTCAAACCGTCCATCATTTAATCTATGCTTCAATGATCCAACAAGGTATGAAAAAGAATACTAAGAAAAGACGAATGATCATCGATTTCTATGATAATCGTTGTTTCCTTCTTCCAACTACTGCTTCATTTCCAGCTATTATTTGATATTTATGTTCCTCTGCAATAATTTAGAGGTCCGCCGCGATATACACAGGTCCAAAATCTGCGATAACTAGTGGAAATTTGCACGAAACACTGACGGGACCATATAATATGACTTGACGAGCATCCACATCCGCTTTTAACTAACCATTCTGAGAAACCACTTTGTCGGACATGACACCGCTACAGTTACTAAACTTGCCAAGCTCGTCATAAACACTGATCATCATCAAACTATTTGAAGAGAAGAATGTGACAATTGGAAAAAGAAATCGCGTACTTCTTCGCTCTTTTAGATGAGAAGATACTGCAAGGAAAGAAAAATGTGATGATTTTGCATAATTCTGGGCGTAAACTTCACTTTTCTTAAATTATACCTTATTTGTCTAAAGTTCCTAAAGTTAAAGTTTTTCCTCCCAACGGTTTACCACCTCATCGGAGCTGGGAGGTGCTCTTGGGTGTCGAACTGCGGTATACAACGAGAAGAATCAGGGTCTCCCATGCTAAGGAGTCCGGCGGTTCCATCAAGAAGTCTCGCTAGGAGTTAGCCAACACTAGGAGCGACTGCCTGTGGTGGTGACGACCTGGGACAGACTTGGCTAGGCGATCCTCGGAACTCCAGGAAACTACAATGGCTTAACCAGCAAATCTCCGTAGAATGGAAATTATGCTGAGGTCCGCACTACCAGTGAAGACGGGCTATCTGAGTAACCAAGTATACCTAATTTAATGAGCTGCATAACAACTTTACCAACGTGTTCTCGATCTATCGGTATATTACTTTACCCCTGATAAACAACACATGAAACCAAATAATAAAAGCAAGATATCTTCTATTATCACTATTATATTTGGAGTAATTGTATATATAAATGTTAAGTGCGAGCAAGAGAAAATTTTGAACATGAAATAGAAACACACCAAGAAAAAAACGTAGTATGTGAAAATGTCTTTTGGTATTCAAAGCGTACAATCTGCCTTTCTGACATTTGGTATTTAAAAATATTAATGATGATCAGAGGCACTTGTGGCACAGTGGTCGGAGGTGCCCTGCAACGCACACATGGAATCGATCTCTGCATCCATAGTCCACCAATCCTTCTATCCTTCGAGGTGGGCAAATTCGTACCAGACGTGTCTGGGAGGATAGCAGCACTGGCTCGATACATCGCTAGGCCACCACGAGTCTTTGTAAAGGCCAGATATGCATTCAATCACCTCCAAACGGTGGTTAATGAAGTCGAATGCATGGCGCATCCCTTATAGAGATTGATCAACGCCGAGAGCCTTATCCTTTATCCTTTTTTAATGATGATCAATATTTCTTACCTGTTAAATTTTCTGATTTATCAAAGATTTTGTTACTTCACAAATTATCACAAATTGGTAAGTTTTAGAATTTCAGCGATACGAGAAGAATACAAATTAAACCAGATAAGAAAAGTTTAATAACTTATACAAATTAGTTATAAATATCCATAAAATAAAGGCTTAATATGAATGTGATTCCTCAAAAAATCGTTTCCCGATTTTTCTACTCGAAAGTACAAAAGCAGGAAAACGCACTTTTATGTGGATACTTCTCAAGTATACGGCAGACAAGAATGAAGTGAAAAAGATGACCACACAATAACTCATTAGTTACGCATTAATTGATAATCTCTACGAGCTTACCCCATAATAGTAATCCTATAGATCGATATATCGATCGAAAAACTCGTTTTTTCAGATTACTGCTTGATTTTTTATGATTATAACAGTCGAATTCGGATTTTTCCGACATTTTCGAAATTTGTTGTCTTCTTTACCAAATGAATGGAATTAGGGCTAAAGATTAGTGAATTGGTCGAACGCCTAACAAGGCAAACCTCTCAGATTCGTCCCGATTCTCTTGCACATTTGTCAGGTTTTCCATTCAACACTCAGATTAGAACTGAATTTTAAAAAGAAGTGTAGTGCTTTAAAATCGATCAATAGAATAACGACTTCCCAGAAGAAGAAAGATTTTCGCCAGGATAGAGATTGCGCTAATTTGAACACTCGCGTTTTCTTAAAAGGTTTTAATTTTCCAAAATCTCAACAATCATCAAAAGACATGTAAGAGAGTTCATATGAATGGTCTTAGCTTTGCTTTGATCTATTTCGTTTTCTGTTTATTCATATGTCCAATGTGTGAAGAAGAAAGCTGAGAGTATAATGAGTATCTAGTGAACTGATCAAATTGCATTACAAATGACTAACAACTTACCAAATTGCGACGAATTCGCTTGTTGTAGAAGTTCTACCCAATGTTGTGACCAGAGACGACTTGTACTTGAAGGTGTACCAGATATTCCAGTCAAGAATGGATTCGCTGACGCCATCTGAGTGTCAGAAGTTGTAGATTTCCATTTGCGTAATAAGAAAATAACTATTATACTAACCTGTATATGAGGTAGTAAGACATCAAAATAGGATAAAGTTTGTGAAATCGGAGCCATTCTACCTTCTTGTGATTCCGATTTCTCAGCGTTTTCAACGAGTCGTTCAACGGAAAAATTCAGTGACATCAACGAAATGCTATACTTTTGAAGAATGAGGACGGGCGATGTTGATATAAATGAATAATAAACTGATATACGAAAAAAAATCAGACCAGAATCTTCAGAATGATCGTTTAGCCAGCTGATGAGCGACGATGTTGGCCCAATGGGTTTGGCTTTTTGTTCACGCTCCGCCTTCATTTCTAACCAAATAGACGGACAACGGGCGAGGCAAAGCACAGACTTCCTCTTCTCTGATTGGCTGTGGTGCCATCTTGGGCGTGGCCTCTAACCCTTTACCGGCAACAGTGTGCAGCACATTTCATCACTACAATCAGTCACCTAGTCAGCTACCAGTATAGCAAACAGGCATGGAGTGGCTGTCATCAACATCATTGAAGATAAATCACTTTTTCCTAGGAAATTCGTGTTAGTTTTAACATGTAATATGTTCATAGGCCGTCAAAACTACTGTATTCGTCGAAAAATATGTTGCATACTTCAGAAAACCGATTAAATCAACGGCTAAGGTAAATGAAGTCCTCTTAGAAAAACTAAAAATGGATATATTAGATAATAGATTTTTGAATTCACCTCTAGCAGGTAACCAATAAGTTGTGGTATGGATGGCGCAGTGGTAATGATGCAGTCAAACAAGTGTATGCTGCTTCGACTTTGTATCGCGCTCAGAAGGCTTCTCATCCAGCGGGGGTCGGAAGATTGGTGCTGGACTTTTCTAGGAGTAATTTACTGACTCGTATCCAAGTGGGAACGTTCAAGCACGGCTATCCGACGGCATCACGGGAAATCACCTTGCCAGCATTCAGCGAAGTCCACGCGGAGGAGGACAACCACTAGTTGAACTCATAAGCGAAAAAGGAAGCAAGCGGTGCTCTAATTCAGAAGCTCGACCCGATGCGACGAAGAGACTCAACTTGCGAGGGCGGCCAGCTGTAGGCGATCGACTCAGGTCAACGTGGCTCTGGGGAAGAGGAATGTTAGAAAAAGTGTTAGATGTTAATGTTAGAATGTTTTTTCTCGAATTTTGTATTAGTTTAATCATCCAAGAAAATATAAAGTGTAATGTTGATATTAAGTATGACAAATTGAATAGTAATAATAACAACAACAATAATCATAGCAACGATAATGATACTAACTGGGAAGTCAGACTTGATCAGTAACAGAAATTTAGTAGTGATTCCGGAAAATGTCTCGAAAATAAATAAATAAGAATTTTTTCTCGGAAAGTAGTCAAGTACGGAACACCTCAGCTAATCTGCTCCAGCTCACTAAGATAACCGACACCTACATATCGAATTACCTGAATGTCGCCAGATTGAGCGTTATATACTAGCTGGCATAAATGGCCAAATAAACACATCGGTTGTCATCATCGTACGAAATGGAGATATTATTGGTCACAGATTCGTCATCGTTATCATCATATTCATTATTATCATCATCACTAGCGTCGCCCTTATCGTCGTCGTTGTCATCTTCATTGTACAACTGTCCTCGTCACAAGACAGTAAAGCTTATTCTAATCAATAAGACTCGGTGTTATTATTAAATGGACGTGTTGTAGACCAAAGGCCGTCGCACTGTTGGTATTTAGGAAATCCAGAGAGAAGCGAAGATCTGGCTATAAGCGTCGTCTCATTTATTTATTACGATTCCTCAGACAATAAATCGACCTTGGGCCTTATACTAGTAGACAATATCTCTTAGCTGCAAAGACTTGCCTTAAGATGATCGGAAACATATACGGAATTTCAAATAAGCTTAGAAAAGCTGTGCAACGTCCATGGAAATCAGCTTTCGAAGTCCGTTTGAAATCATATCCTATTAGCCTTTTCCCGATTGGTATTCTAAACAAGTCCTAACCTTTATTAATAGCCTACCCTTTTTTCATAGTAGTATACGATGTAAACCACAACCGCTAATAGCAACGGTAGATAGAAAATTGGCTAAGAGAATGGCGAAACGAAAGATCTGCATGGTATGTAGGTGATCGCGTTAGCCCCGAAGAAGGTAATAGTGCGTTCGTTCCCCGCCGAAGACACCTGCTGCCCAGAATTTTGCAAATATCTCAGCATCATTATGGTTATAACTACAATAAGATAAGCTTCGAAATTCCGATTATCACTACACTGACCGAAGTCCTTCCTTTCTCTTTCCCTTAGTCACTTTAGGCACAGGTCTTAGACAGATAGTGTTCGAGCTTATTGCCCACTAATAGGCATCTACTTACTACTAATATAAACAATAATAAAACGATTCTATATCGATGCTGAGCACACTCTAATATGACGTTCGTAGAAGTAGAATCGATTTTTAAGAACCATCTTCCCATATAATTGAAAGCCTCCTAGTTAGTTGAGCGTTTTATTGAGTAGAAATTCTGTAATACTCGACATTCAAATATCCGACTATTCGACGATTTAATGATTCAATAAAATCTGTGAATGTGCATCACTTCACTGCACTGTTTTGATGGCTAATATTATACAATAATGTGCGTTCATAACGAAAATCGTTAATTCGTATTCACGACAAGCGTTCAGCTTCCCTTACAGACCTGATTAAAGCAGTCAGCGTTGCTGATTAGCGCCTAACGTAGCATATTCAAGAAACTATTCCTCATTTTCGAACAATGGTTCATACATACCGATATACATCTATACTTTACAAATGGTACAAACACATACAAATGGATGTATGCACACACGCACACATATAAGTCAGTCACACACAAATAAATGGATACAATTGTTAATATACGTGTACTAACATAATATGGAATCGATGCACACTTATCACACACACACTCCCACACACACACACACACACACACACACACACACACACATGCACAGACAAACAGATTGACAGATGAACGCATACACTCCAATACACATAGACACATACAGACGCACACACATAGGTGCATACATACATACATACATGCATTCTTACGCAGCGACCAGGTTTCTGATGCATACGTTAGGGCAGGAAGTACTGTTGAGTCGAAAAAGTGGGCACGGAGTCGCGTGTTCTTTGTTCTCTTCACTACACCATCGATGCTCTTGAAAGCTCACCAAGCCGCTCGTTTTCTTCTGCTCAGCTCTGGATCTAGGCCGTTTACCATATTGATTTCCTGAACTAGATAGATATAACTGGAGTATTCGGAGATATTCGTTCCGTTAAGCGTGAATGGGGCATGCGAAACCAATCCGTTCTTCATGAACATCGTTTTTATGAGATTTAATCGAAGGCCAATCTCTCCATAAGCGTTACCAAAGACGGCAAATATTCATTCCGCTAAGTTTATGCTTGTTGTTATAAGAATGGTGGCCCCAGCAACGTGAAAGTAGTGTAAATGCTGATCACCGAGTTTTACTCCCATGTCGTTCCATTCTAATGCTGGAATGACGTTCTTAAGGATGGCTGCAAAAAATTTTGGCAAAATGATATCGCCTTCTCTAGCACCTCTTTTTAGCTCGATATTATTGTCGTTGTAAAATGGTGATATTTCGATCGTGAAATTTACTTTGTGTACCAAGTAGCGACGCCTGGATGTAAGAGGCTTCTACTACTGCTTCTAATTTATTCGTGTCAAAAGTTTTCTTTTTAATTCGATTAAAGTGAGACAGGGCTTTCTCTTGTGCTCCCACGATACTCAATGACTCTTGTTGACGTGGTCATCGAGCTGAATCCTTTTTAAAACTCTGCTTGCTCATATGGCTCTTTCGTTCAATGTTTGGTTAATCCTGCTCAGCATGACTCCGTTGAAGGGTTTCTAGGCAAGAGGCCACAAGCAGATTGGGCGATAGTTGCCGATATCGTGGAGTTCACCCTTCTTAAACAATAGCACGGTCTTGCTGGTCTGCCATTGAATAGTAACCTTGCGTTCAGACAGGTAACATGTGAAGAGAAGAGTTTTCATGAGGACTGGCGGAAGGTTCTTCAGGTGTTCACATCTTATCCTATCCGGGCCTGGTGTCGATTTTTCACCGACGACATAACATGTCGGATTTAAGAAGGGCGTACCCGCGGAACGACGAATCCATCTTCCTTTCTTTGGTATGAGCCCGGACGGACGTGGTTACTGAAGAAAGTAGTAATCGTGAATGATTTTCTTCATTGCTTTTCTTGAAGCTATAATTGTTTCGTCTGTGTGCTGGAGTTCAATGGTCTTCGTTTTGTAATTAGCAAAGCTTCAGTGGGCTCGCGAATGCCTCACCCAGCCTCTGCAGCTATGACCATGGCTGCTGCTCTTATCTCTTAAGGATCTGCTTTTGTCACCTGTAGGCATTATCCTAGAAATTCGGACGTGAGTTGGCGGTTGCCTGTTGCTCGCGCGATTCATTATGGCTTAACAGCTCGAGTGTTTCTGGAGACAGACGTCTCTTGACCAGTTAGAGTTCTCACCTTTCATAGCATAAACGTGAAGATGTTGAATGAGCCGATCGCATTCTTCGTCATTGTTGTCAAGAACGGCATCTTCCCAACAGGCGATTAATGAACTGAGAAAGTCCAAGTTTATGGTGGTTTCGGGACCTTGTTTTTTTCAACTTGCACGCTTTCTCTCCCTTCCGCGAGAAATAGAATATTGCGCGGAGGGCGTGATGGCCTAGTCTTGTGAAGAATTTTGAGACAACAGCGACTTCGGGTATCTAAAACCCTATTTACTAGGATCTAGTCTATTTCGCTATGATAGTTCCCACCCGAGTTTAGCGTCGGTGCCCACGTAGAGCTAGCAGACCACTGAACGTGGGAGCTCAGTATACTCACGGGTAGATTGCCAGTCTCTACCAGAGTAGATGGGGAGCTTATTTCTTGGAAGCGCCTCTTAACCGCCTTCCATATACTACGGTTTTAATTGATTGGAAGCATTTTAGCAAACTGAATTGCAGAAAGTGCCAAGTCGGCGCAGCAGAAACAGGGAGTCCATCCCCTGGATCCATCTGCGTCTCAGGGAGGAAAAGTCGCTTTTAGTCTATGATTAACCCTCTATCCGCCACCTAGGGACACACCACGTAGCCTCGCGATTAAGTGGCATGCGATCTTTCTATGAGGGAGATCCGTAGATACGTGTATGTGAAAATGAAAGCTCTCGGCGTTGACCAATCTCTTAGGGATGCGCCATGCATTCAGCTTCACTAAGCATCGTTTGGAGATGATTGAATGCATATCTGGCTTTTACAATGTCTCGGGGTGCCTGCCGATGTTTCGACCTGATGCTATTTCCCTCTCAAACAAGTCTGGTACCAATTTTTCGAACACAGAAGGATGGAAGGTTCTATGGCCCGGTGCACGGAGATTGATCCCATGTGCATTACAGGACGTATCCGATCACTGGGCTACAGGCGAAACCCATGTATACAAACGCAAATCTTATCTCCAATTAAAAGTTAAGTCATACTTATACTATTAGGCAACCACCTCTGTCTATACCGTTGCGCAAAAATCGTGTTTAAGTCCAGAACAGAACACCTTGTTGAACACCGTGTACTACACAGAGGAAACTGTTAGAATAAAGTTGTGGGTGCGGTACGATACCTATTGGCAACACACCTGTTACGAACCAAAGTATCCTATCGATCAAGTAGTATATTGGTCAATACTATACTATTTTAGTGTTCTACAATCACGATCCATCTAACGTACGGTTAGTTTTAAGAGGTCTCCCGATTTGACTTAAAAAAGAAGCCAGTATTTACCTACTTAAGGATACATTAAAGGCGTGTGTGGCGCAGTGGTCCGAGACTCCCTGCGACACACACGTGGAGTCGGTCCCCACGCCCACGACCCACCAAGCCTTTCATCCCTCCAGGGTGGACAAATTGGTCCAGACCTGTCTTGGAGGATAGCGGCACTGGTTCAATGCCTCAATAGGCCACCTCGAGCCACTGTAAAGGCCAGGGATGCATTCAATCACCTCTAATGATGCTTGATGAAGTCGAATTCATGGTGCATCCTTCAGGGACTGATCAACGGCGAGAGCTTTCTTTTTAAGAAGAGATGGTCAGCAACCGAGCTGCTGCTAACAACACTATCGAATAGTTTATCGTTTCCAAAACTTCAAAATTCAATGTTAACAGAATACATAATCACGCATATTGTTGACGATGATCTCACGGGTTTCCCTCATATCCATGAATCTCCTTCATATGAAGGACCTCGAGCCGGTTAGTCGCGAGGCTACGTGGTGCCTTCCCAGGTGCCGAATAGGGGTTAATAGCGGACCAAAAGCGACCATTGCTTCCCTGAGACGCATGTGGATCCAGGGGATGGACTCCCTGTTTCTGCTGCGCTGATTTGGCGCATACTTTCTGTATTTACGAGGCGTATTCATACGTACGTGTGTGGGTGCGTTCTTGTTTAAGGGGATTGTATTCTACGAGTCAATTCGACCAAAAGCCTGCAATCAAGTGACTGGGAAGTATATGGGAGGCGGTTAGGAGTCGCCTCCAACAAATAAGCTCCATGTCCACCCTGGGAGAGACTGACAAGTTACCCGTGAGTATAACCAGCGACTACGTCCAGAGCCCAACAAGCTATACGTGGGTATCAAAAAGCTAAACACAATAAAATAAACAGACCTCTTTCCCTGTCTCCGAAAGATCCCCTGGTTCGGCAGCGTTGGGTAGGACGGTTTCGGAGAGACAGCTCAAATCTCAGAGCCTAAATCGCAAAGGACTAAAGTGACGATCTGTACCTACAATGCACGCACACTTGCATCCGAGTCCTCGACAAAAGACTTATCATGCAAGCAAGAAGGATAAGGTACGACGTCATCGGCCTGGCCGAAACGAGAAGAACCCAGCCTTTCAACGCCGTCTATGACACCGGAGAAGAACTGCTCCTCGGAAAATGCGACAGTAGAGTTGGCGGCATCCGTGTTCTCGTCAACATGAATTTGTCCACAAACATTGACAAACCCGAATCGGACGTTTGCGATTAAAAACATATGCGGCTTCGACATTCTTCGCCGTTTACGCGCCGACATCAAACCATGACGAAGAAGAAGTCGCAGCGTTCTATATGGACTTGGAGAAGTTCTACAGAGAAGACCACACACTCTTCAAGGTCATCATTGGAGATTGCAACGCCAAGATTGGACCAAGAAGAACGTCCTAAGAACGTTACCAAGACAATCCATGGTAACTCGTAATCCCAGAAGATACAGCCTCAGCGCTGGACGTGGGAGTCTCCCAATGGAGAGTACCGTAACGAAATAGACTACATTATAGTAAACAGAAGGTTCTGCCTAATCGATGTCGCTGTTGTCCCAAAATTCTACACGGGACCAGACCATGGCCTCCTTCGTGGAAGATTCTATTTCTCGCGGAAAGGAGAAAAAGCCGCTAAATTCCAAAACCGGTCTCAGAACCACCGTGAACTGGGATTTATTCAAATCATTAGTCGGCTGTTGGGAAGGTGTCGTTGTCAATAACATCGACGAAGAATACGATCGGCTCATTCAACATCTTCACGTTAGCGCTATGAAAGCTAAGAGTTCGAAAGTCACCAAGAGACGTTTGTCTCCAGAAACACTCGAGTTGATACGCCAGCGTGGAATCGCACGAACTGCACGCAACCGCGAACTAACGTCCGAACTTGCAAAACAATGCAGACAGGCGATGAAAGAAGACGTTAAAGAGAGAAGAGCAGCAGTAATGGTCGAAGCTGCAGAGGCTGGGAAAAGTATTTGCAAAGCCCACCGAAGCTTTGCCAATTACGTGACCAAAATGATTGCAATCCGGCCCCCAGACGGAACAGCTACAGCGTCCAGAAAAGCAATGGAGAAAATCATTCACGAATACTACTCGGATCTCTTCGATAGCCACGTCCACCTTCCGTCATACAAAATAAAGGAGGATGGATATGTTGTACTACTGGTTCTCCCTTCCGAAATCCGACATGCCATTTCATCGATGAAAAATCGAACAGCAACAGGTCCAGACAGCATGAGATCAGAACACCTGAATAATCTTTCGCCAGTCCTCGTAAATATGAATGCAAGGTCCTTACTCAGTGGAAGACCAGCAAGACCGTGTTATGGTTACAGAAGGGTGACCTACACGATATCGGCAACTGTCGCCCAATCTGCTTGATGGCTATCGTCCGAAAACTTTCCACTCGAGTCATCCTAAACAGGATTGACAAGACACTGGACGAAGGACAGCCATGTAAGCAAGCAGGGTTTCGAAGAGGATTTAGTACGATGGATCACATCCACACGGTAACACGACTCATTGAAGTATTGCGAGAGTACAAAAGGCCGCTCTGTTTCACTTTCATCGATTTACAGAGGGCCTTTGATTCAATTGAGATAGAAGCAGTCATGGAAGCCCTTGATAGTGAGAGAGTCCCTACTCAGTACATAAAGATTCTTCGTGGGCTGTACAAAAATTTCACAACCAAGCTACCACCATTCTGCAACGATATTAACATTGACGTCAAAAGAGGAGTTAGGCAAAGCGATAATACCATCTCGCCAAAATTATTCACCACCACCTTCCAGAACATCATGCGAACATTGGAATGGGATAATATGGGAGTGAAAATCGACGGTCGACAGTTACACCATCTTCGCTTTGCTGATTGCATCGTCCTTATAACACCAAACGCTAGCCAAGAGGAACGTATGCTTAACGACTTTGATAAAGCCTGTGGAAAAATTGATCTTTGACTAAATCTCATAAAAACGATGTTCATGAAGACCGGATTGGTTTCGCATGGCCCATTAACGCTCAACGGAACGAATGTCTCCGAATGCTCCATTTGTATCTATCTAGGTCGGGAAATCAATATGATGAACGACTTAGCCTCAGAGTTCAGCAAAAGGAAACAAGCGGCTTGGGGAGGTTTCAAGAGCATCGAGGATGTAGTGAGGAGAACAAAGAACACACGACTCCGTACCCACTTTTTCGACTCAACGGTACTTCCTGCCCTAACTTATACGTCAGAAACCTAGTCGCTGCGTAAGCAGGATGAAAGGTCACTCGGCGCTATCAAACGCGCCGTCGAAAGGACGATGCTAGGAGAATCTCGTTCCACACAAGTAAGGGATGGGTCCGAAGCTCCAACCTGCGCCAACGGTCACTAAAATCAGAGATGCCGTTCTGTACGCCACACAGTCGATGATAAGATGGACCAGACTGGATTCCTCGGGATGTTAAAGCACTGCAGGAAGACTACCGAATCGATGGTCAGAGTTCTTCACGAAAAGCCTAGAAGAAAGATATGATGCTCGACGAGCTCCTAGAGCGAGCAGAACCTACTGGGCTACTCTTGCACGCGACAGGGAAAAATAGAAGATTTACTTGCGCCCGCTCGAGTCACTCGACGATCAACAGGACTGCAGATGACAGGTTATTGTTCACGATGATGTATCGATCCTACAAATTCCTATTTCGATCCATAAAATCACATCTGCACCACGTTGTAACATTATAACACATTCCGCTGAACATCCTACGTATTTTTTTGAACCAATTTAATGTTACACCAATCAACGATGTCGTATCCTTGTAATCCTACAAAGCCCAAGAATATTGTTAACTTATATAAAACATCTTATTCAGCCCAAAGAGCAAAAATGTTTGTAAATACCGTGGAACTTAGTGAAGACTGTGGTCAATACGCAGATTCCCACTTATATAAATGAGATACAAATTATAAAGTACTGTCATCAACAAAAAAAAGACGACTAAGAAGTACTACAACTCTTCACTTCTTCTGAACTAAGTCAAAGATTTTATTTACTACAGGAAACGAAATGAACGGAAGAGAGTGGATAAAAGGTTGGCTTTCGTCGATCCTCATGGACGCGCCATGCATCTGGTTCCACTCGTAGGATCGTAGACCTGCTTGAGCAAATATAGGTAGTAGAATTACTTGTAGAACGCTATCGATGTATAAAACCAGTGCTCTTATCCTTCCAGACACTTCGTTCACAAACTGGCTGACCACGCAAGGATAAAAGACTTGGTCTGTACAAAACAGCGGATAGAACCCAAGTATAGCAACCATCGCCAGAATAGTTACTATTTTTTCATTTACCGTAGGTCCCTACAGTAACCACATTCGCTGTTCCTCATATCATTTTCCAATCTTGCAGCGTGTAAATGTTTTCATTCTCAGGAACTTCGCTTGCCACAAACACCCTTTGTTATGCAAACCTCTTTGTGCAATCGGAACTATGTGTGTTATTCCTGTTCGAAGCCTTCAAGTGTACAATAATACGAAGGGTATGAAGTTGTTTAGGAGAACCGCCCTTCCTTATCTGATCTGTCCATGAATGAGTTGGATAACCAAGTCGACGAATGTTTTCGGCAAAAGTTTTGTATCTGTGGTAAACTACCGTCTCCTACAAAAGACATTTAAATGGCCCCTTGAATCACCATACTATTCGTCTCGTTAGGACATCTTGTCCATCGTATGCGTTACACCATGAAGATAATCTAAGGTGTTAACTCTTATCACAATAGGTCACTACTGTATGTTACTGTCATTTTACTGTCATGTACCTCTAAACACCTTGCCCCTATTGTACGTTCATTTTCGGATAATCTTATCACAAGCTAACATGTAACCTCATATCAATGCACAACCTAACACGCATCGCAGTGCACGCATATGTTGTATCTCTCAACATGTTAATCTCATCAGAACGACATCATAAGCCCATGTATGGTGTGTAAGGCCACTGCATTGCTATTGTGAGTCAGCAATTATGGCCTCACATGAATCCCTAAATGTGCCTATTTGTACCACCGCTGATGTATTCTATATACATACAACGCTGTTCTATTAGCCTTTATCGAAGCCAATAACCAGCCTTACTCTCATTGATTATGTTACCGCATTGCAGCCTATATTGTACCGGTGTTCATACATCGTCATTTCCGCATTATTACCACTATAAACGGCTTAGTTATCCAAGTTTGAGGTATTTCTCTGCAACAACTACAAACAAGTCCGGCGTGACATCTTCCTACGAAGCGAGCATTCTACTCAAAGCTAGTGTGACCGAGAAACAGCGAGAAATAACCCGAATGCATAATTTCCACTAGAAATCACTACACCAGGACAGTGTGTGATGTTCTGCAGAGCACTTCGCACCACTGTGCTATACGCGCGAAACAAACTAACATTGTTAAAAATCATACTTCGAAAATTTTCAAAATCAATAATGGACAGAGCCGAAAAATCATGAATTAATAGAAGTTAAGAATTTATACATGTCACAGCATTTAATGCACAATCGACTTCCCACAAAAAGTAAGAATCGACAGAAAAATTAATTGATTGACGGCGGATGCTATAAAAGAACATCAACAATAAAAACGTACAGTCAGTTAACTACCGGACTTATCTGTTACCACTAGTTAGAGAAAATATTTAACGTACAGAGTATTTAGGAGCCTGGCGACTTGAGAATCGAAGAATATCGAAAACACTTGACTCTGTCCTTCTATACACATATATAATTCGTTCCATGTACTAATTTTACTGTAAATTCTTTCCACCTAAAAAGCATAAAAGTAGTAGTATGAGAAAACTGTTAAAATTTTTAATACAAATGCTGCGAGCGGCACGACATATTCCAGGATATCACTCCGTCCGCGTGGACGATATTCCACTTATTCAATCAAAGTGAAGTTCAATAAAAAAGGAGAAAAAGTTGTATAGGAAGCCTTCACAGCCTTCAATAAATAGATAAATAGGTAAATGAATAAATAAAATTCCATCACTATAGAATAAGTGAATATATAACGAACTTATTACTGATTCCATCTGTAAAAAATCTGTTGAAAAAGATATACAGATTCTAACAGTTTTCACCACAATCAACAATGACCTCATAAATATTTCTTTAAAGCTGAAAACGTACGCCATCTGTCATGTATGAGTCGCATATAACTCCTACTGTCGTGAATGTTTTAGAAAAGCACTAGGTTTTTCGATTCAAGGATCTTAAAAGAGTAATAATACAGTGATGGAACAAAGCAAATTAATGGTGCAGAAAAAAATTCGTTCGAATATCGGTAATCATTGCACTATTTCAAGGAGAGATCTCGTATTAGATTAACCAGCATTTTTCCAAATATGGCATTATCACTGCTTACTTCCACACATTTCTCAGATAGATGTAAAATCACCAGATCCTTATGCGATCGTGTTTGGCACGTGAAGAACTAAACAAACAAAATTGAAAGCTTTCAACCAATTTCGCTAAAATGTTGGAAAAAAAACTACGGGCCAGCTCCATTGTAACAAAACCACAATCAAAACAAAAACACATGTTCAACTTTCTTTTAAAAAAATAGCTATTGATCAAGTGATGCTCTATAGTAATAAAGCTATAATCAGAATAAGCAGATATTAACCAGTGTCTTACATTAGTGATAAAAGCAGAAATCAATCAAGCCTTCTCTAGTATCTCTAGTACACATGTAACTACAAGAAATACTTGAATTCGTGGATCGGAACGTCCTCAATGGTTGTGTGGGCCCCAGCACAATTTCCGTTTATTTGGAGTTCTGCTGGTTTAGCCACTGTGGTTCCCTGAAGTCCCATGGTCAGCCGGGCCAAAGTCTGCTCTAGGTCGTTACCACCACAAGCAGTCGAGCCACCCTTGTGGAACAGAGGAAGATTTGCCACCATGCGACTACTTTCATAATAGGACGGTAGTGGATCCTGGTATTGGTTCACTCTTAGCTAGGCTTCCTGATTAATACGTCAACTCCTTGTCAACTTGGAAGACCCTGCCGGAAGGACGAATCCGCCCGCTATAAATCGCAGCCCAACACCGAGGAACACCTCTCAGCAACGAATGAGGCGGTAAACCGTTGGGAGGACAACGAAATACGGTTATAATTGTTCTATTCATTTCATATATCATTGTATAGCGCTTAATACACAGAGTAATAAACCCCATTCCACTTTACCTGGAATAAAAGACTGCTAACACCACGGCAGAATTTTACAAACACCAACTTTTGGCAGTGGTAAGCAGATTTATGCACGTCTTTCAAACAATTTGTACCTCTTTTAGCAAAGAATAATGCAAATGTTTTCAAGCACGAGTATTATCGACAGTTATCGCCTATATAGGGGGTAACAGAAACAGTAAGCTAAGTAGAATGAATAGTAATATTAAATCAATATTCTTTATTTTTTATATCAATCAATATTTCCTGACATCCCAAAATCTTACACGAGATCGAAGCATCGCCTCCGCATAAAATTCTATCTTCAGAGAAAAAGAAAAAGGCGCGAAGTTCAAGAAACGAAATCCCAGAACTGCCGCTAATTGGTATTTATATTAGATTATTAATTGGTTCTTGGAAAGATACCATGATTGACAACAGTGACGAAGAATACGGCGAGCTCATTGAATTTCATCACGTTGGCGAAATGAAAGCTGAGCGTTTGAAAGTCAGCAAAGTACGCAGTTCGTCCGAACTTGTAAAACACTGGCGAAAGGTTATAACAGATCTTAAGGTGAAAAGAGCAACACTAATGGCAAAACTAGAAAATTTGACTTCCCGGGAAAATCAAGTTACTATCACCGGATAAAGACAACTATCAACTATTAGCATCCTGCATAAAACGGCATCACCAAGTTAGGATGTCTCATTCGAGAGATGGTCCGCTGAGGAAGAAAAAGCTATATGAAGGCGAAGACGCCACATCGAGACGAAGAAACGTGGACTATCGAGTTGGATCGTCGGCTCTGATAAAGGCGAAGACATGGAAACAACCGAATAAAGATTCAGCTCTCGGCGTTGATCAATCCTTGAGGGATACTCCACGCATTCGACTTTATTAAGCATCGATGGAGGTGACTGGATGCATATCTGGCCTTTACAATGACTCGCGATGGCCTACCGATGTATCGACCCAGTGCTGCTATCCTCCTAGACAAGTTTAGTTGCAATTCGCAGTGGTCCTGCGAGGTTGGAAGACTTGATGAGCCATAAGCGCGGGGATCGATTCCACGTGTGTGTTGCATGGCGCCTCCGACCACTACGCCACATTCGTCGTCAAAGACTCTCAAGACCGCCACGACCGACTTTCTATTAACCTCGGCATTGATCAAGTGATTTTGTTCGTATACATTATACTATACTTCATTATACTGACATTATACTTCCACGTGATTTCTGTGCGATTGGTCTCTACGTGACATACTTAGTGGAAACCTCATAGGAAGCGGCTCTGAGGAAGGCGAAATCCGTCGAAACGTCAGCTTAATCGTGAACAAAGAATAATAACACCTCGCGTTTGCTCAACAAAAATACGAACAAAACTCCCAAGACCGACTTTCTGTTAACCTCGGCATTGATTGATAACTCGGTTTTTCTTCAATAAGCAGACACGAAGTTGTTATATCCTCAGGCAGGAATCGAAAACATCAGCGCGTAAAACTTTTGAAGTGCTTTGAATTACAACCACAACGTTGCTGAGATATTTGCAAAACTCTGGACCGCAGATGTCTATGGTGGGGAACAAACGCGCTATTGTCCTTTCCGGGGAGTAACGCGTTTACCACCACACCATGCGGGTCCTTTGTTTCGCGTGTCTCTCAGCTATTTCTATCGATCTTTTTGCCACAGCAATCACCCGTCAGCGGGGTTGATCTGGGGAGCACAAATCGGCATAGAACACAGTTAAGCTATGGCTGTAGTTGAAATCACAATGTTTAAGGTTTTGTTTTCTGCCTTCTATAAACCGCTGAGTCACGTCATCGTCAGTAGGATTAACCAAAAATTGAACGAATGGTATTCATGTCAGCAACCAGGATTTCCAAAAGGGTTCAGTACGATAGACCACATCGACACAATAACGAGACTCACACTGGAGTACCACAAAAGTGTAAGAGATCGGTCTGCTTCATTTTAATCGATATGAAGAAAACCTCTGACTCGGTTGAAAGAGGAGCAGTCATTGAAGCTAAGAACAGAGAGGGGGTCCGTTCCCAGTTTATGAACGTTCCTCGTGAGTTATATAGAAATTTCACGACCAAAACATCACTATTCTATAATAATATTAAGAACGAAGTGGAAAAGGAACTAGGGAACACGATACCACTTTGCCAAAAACCTTTATAAGCATCCTCCAGAACATTCTGCCAACATTGGAATGGGACAACACCGAAGTGAAAATCGATGGTCGGCATTTTACGTAAACTTCGCCTTGCTGATGATATTGTCCTCATAACACCAAGCAATAGCTAGGCTGAGCGAATGCTTGGCTATTTTGATGACGCTTGTAGAATGTCTTCGACTAAATTTCACAAAAACGATGTTCTTGCGGAACGGATAGATTTATTTCGCATCTCCTTTTCATTCTCAACGAAACAAATATCTCCGATTGTTACAGCCACGTCTGTCTAGATCAAAAAGTCAACATGACGAACGACTTGGCTCCAGAGTTGAGCAGGAAGGAAGGAGCGACTTGGAAACTTCAAGATCATCGAGGATGTAGTGAGGAAAACAAAGAACACCCGACTCCATGCCCACCTTTCGATCCCATGATTCCGCGTGCGTGTAGGAAACCTGGTCTCTACACAAGGAGGGTGAAAGATCAGTCAGAGCTATCGAACGCGTTTTCCAAATTGCAAGGCTAAAAATATCCCATACAACGCAACTGAGGAAGGAGAACTGAATTTCTGATCTACCAAAACGATCAAAGATCAAAGACACCATGCAATGGGCCAAAATTTCGAAAATTAGGTGAACCGGGTACACAATGCATCTGAACGGCCATTGATGGACAACAGTCAGCAACTGGATTCCATGGAAAGTGAAATGCATGACTTTAAGACCGTCGATTTTACGTTCAGAGCTCTTCACGGAAGCCCTAGAAAAAAAAATATAATACTCAGAGAGCCCTTCGAATGATGGGTACTCTTGGACGCCACACAAGTGGAAAATTTACTACATCTGCTCGAGTCTATTGACGATCAACCGGAAGACAGTTGACACATGTTACAGAGAACATGTTAAGACTAGGAGTAATGCTTTAAATGCCATACTATTCATACAATCCTATGGTTGAGATATTAAACAGACCTCATCAGGTCTAATAATTATAGAAATGCATGCAAAGCCCCAATGCTACTTACTCCATTTGGCATCCGATATGCGTTAACCACACTGAGAACATCATCTTCAGATACGGATGCAGACAATACGGCCGAGTGACGATTAAGACCACTCATTCGACGACGCTCCTTTTCCACTTCTTCCTCCGTGAGGCGTATAGGCTGTACTTGCTCTCCAATGGGCACCTGAAATATTCAGGACAAAAATTCATGCCATAATGTCAGAAGTCATCACGTTGCTCAGAAATTAATGTCGGATTTCTAATTTCATATCTTTTGCGTATGTCTTGGCAATCGTTTTTTTTACGAACTCCAACTATTACATATCATCGGGAAACACTCTATGCACTTGAGTCCCGTATACTTACACTGCAACTGTTCCTGATAAACTTTAAAAATCAAAAATTCAGGTGTCAAGAGGGTAGTTTCGATAGACCTACTTTAGTAATTCAAACTTAGCCAAACACAGCACGCCTGGAAATGTTAACAAAGTTTAGACAATTTCGTTTTGTCGCTATGAAGTTCATCATTTTCCCCAGACTTCTAGTCTCCAGCACTTCCTCTACCAGGAATGCTTCAAAAACAAAGCCGAGACCGAAAATTTCCGGAACAACCTTCTCGCATACGGAAAACTAGAATTTTAGGCAATCCGTATAAGTAATCTTGTTTTTCGTTGGCTAAAACGTTTAGAATTTAATGGTTTTCTTTTGACTAATAGAGTTTGTTATGAGCTGAAATAATCCAGTTCGAAAATAAAAACTGTAATCTGAGATTAATTTTCAGGGCATCTAAAATATAGTATATCATAGTAGGAAGCAGTAACGTGATTGCCATTTCATCGAATCCACAGAATGTATTCCTTCCTTTTCCTCTATTACTTTGGTTTTGATTCACCCAAGCAAATGCGCATTTATGTTTTGTGGCTTAACCTGAAACCGACAACAAAACATGTTATTCTTCTCAGTCCACTGAAGTGCATAATGGTGCATGGTAAGAAAACATGGAACAAAATATACTTGTATGGTAAATACTCATTAAATAATGGCACAGATGAAGAGTATCAAGTATGACAATAGGATTAATCGAAGTGAAATCCCACTAATTATATGCATCATCTGACTTGAAGATCTTTGCTTGGATGCTGAGAAATTGCCAGCATATCCGCAAACGACTATTGGTGGAGAATAAAATTAACGCCTTCAGATCACGTTCTACCAATTACCGTACACATCTGCGCCTGAATCGTGTGAATTGATGTCGGCGCTTTAACAGAAAAGCAAGTACACTTGCGCAGCTCCAGTACTGCGGAGAAAACAATGCAAATCTTATGAGATCTTCATTCCGATCACAACTCCGGACTTCGGCAAACATATTGCAGCTGGCAATCCCGTTGGAGTCAATCGGCGACAGAATTTGGTCCAGAGGTTACCACTATTACACATGTTCCATCCGACATATCTCCGATTCCTTTGTGGTAAATTAAAATTTCGGATATATCTGCGTGGCACCACATTAATTCTACCACCACGCTCATGATACCCAAGAAGCATAACTCTTAACTGAGCTCCTACAAGCCTATTCCTCCATTTGTGTCCCTTTATATCACTTGCACGTACTTCACTCTCTTAATAAAACACGTAAGAAACTGCTGTAAAATCAAACTCCTAGTGTAGAAACTTATCTGAATGCAAACCACCATCTGAAGCAAAAAGACCTGTCCACATGATCTGCATACGTGTCTTACCGTTTTTCAATCATCAGTTCAGCGATAATTAGAAATCATTATGAAAACACGAAAACGAACATACTAGAACAGTTACCATTATAATTATTGGTTGGTCGGTACTTTTTCAGACTACATACACAACATATGAAAACTGTTCACAAATCGTCAAAAAAATTACGCAAATAATAACCTCTATGGAAACAATTCTCCCCGACTTGTTTGTTTTCCTCGATAGGATCCATTCCCCACGACGGATACTGTCTCCTAAATCCACAGAAACACACAGACTATGAGAAGCACCCGCTGGGAAGTCAATAGCCTGCAACATTTCACCTAAACATAGACATGTTAAACTCGAACAAGAGACTGGAGCGAACCTCAAAATCCTTTTTAACATCGAAACCGTGCGGTGGGCTCAGCTCTACAGCCTCTATAGCAACTCCTGTGGTGTTACGTAGTAGAAACTTCAGCAGAGTATACTGTGCATCGTTGGTGCGTGGAAATGTTAAAGACAATTCGATACCATCACCTTCAATGGTGTTGAGAATTTCGTAGGTCGAACTCTGGAACATTATAAAATGATTTAATTTTTTTTCATCTCACATTCTACAGCTTAGACCAAATAGTAGACACTTTAAAGCAGCACAACTGCCACTCAATTACAAGCGTTAGTCATGTATGGAACATAACTAGAGATGTATAATTCTCAACAAACAAAACAAAATAAGATAGATTACCGAGACCCATTGTGGATCGACGATCTGACGACTTCCAGCTACAGAAAAATCTAAATCTAACAGCAACTCGATGGCACGACCAGAGTTCGTCGTTGCATTGTCTTTTGGATTACAATGTCCATTGGTGGGAATCGACACTGGAGATATAAAATTTAAAACACTAAATCACTCTATTATGTTCTGAAAAAAAACGAACGCTTATTTTGGTAGTTGGATGATAACGGATTGTTTTCCTCGGATTCATCGCTTTCATCCTAAAGAATGAAGCAAGGCACTTACATGAGTACTGGGGATTTTATTTTAATTGGAGAAATTTATTTATTAACCCGAGTATACGAACCAAAACGACAAAACTTACTTCTTCATCACCTCCTTCTGAACTTCCATTTTCCTCTTCTTCTTCCTCCTCATCATTCAAACTTTCCTCTTCTTCATCTTCTTCATACTCATCTTCGTACTCATCCTCCTCTTCCACTTCATCATTATTTTCATACTTAAACTCTTCTGATGAATTGACTTCTCGACGAAGTGACGCATCAGAAGAAACCTCAAAACAATTATAGATCAATTTCTTCTTCTACTCTCTAATTGAGCTGCCAACTAGTCATTATTATGTAAAAGAGAAAAGGCTTTGTTATCTTTCATATCAACAAAAATTAGGTCCATTATTGCAAGAGTTCAAAGTAGGAGATTCTTCTAAGCATGCTGCCATGAACTACATCAGTATGAGCTCACTTGTGGAAAATTGGGTAGGTCTAGATAGCGTGAACATCGCTGATTTAAGGCATGTGACAATGTACCTAACTGGAACTGCTCTCGCTCTGGAAGAAAAGAAAGTAGAACAATAATTAGAATATGGAATAACTAATTGCCCTATACAAAGATGGAGGTGGAAATACATTCCCAACACATATTTATATACAACCTTTAAAACTGCTTTGAAACGTTGGTGAAGGTTTTTTAGCCATAAAAATTTGCTCCGCATATTGAGATAAAACTTCAGTGTTGAAGAGAAGGTTACGCAAAAAACGGCACCTAGAAAACAAGCACAGATGAAATCTATACCTCAAAAAACATGTTTTTTAACTCTATATGAGACATCAAGCTGAAGGACTCCGATATACAAAGTGATTAAAAATAAACTCTCTATTTTTAAACATTTGTGATCTAATCATGTATTGTAAAACCCATCCCAAAAATTTTTTATTTTCCTCAATGAGCATGAATTAAATCAGAGTTTTTATAGACCATTATTTTTTTGAACGTTGAAAGCCGTACAAAAACGGCTGCACGTCTTACCCTGCAAGCGCATGCCCAGATAGCCGCAGGCTACAGGGCTTGAATCAGTTGTTTAAGTGCAAAGTTGGCAGGGATCAACTACATGCTCAAGTTAGCACGACGATGATCAAGAATTACCATGCAAAATTCGCAGCTGCAGGATCTGTAACTGGTAGTCGAACAAGCGGCCAACCTTCAAATTCCAGTGATCCGGAAGTAGCGCTACCGTTAAACAAATCTTCATTCGTTTTTTCCTCGGTGTTGTTTAGAGAAGCAAGTGCACTCCATTAAACCAACGACTTTGGAAGCATTAGAAGAAAGAATACAAGAAGTTATCTCTTCTATCCCACAAGAGTTCCTACCGAAATCATTTGATGCGATTCTGAGGCGACGTGGGGACCTGACAGCGATTGCTGGTGCCTATGTGGAATCTTAAATAAAACCGCATGCTATACCCCTGCTCCCGATATTCATTTCCTGTAGAAAATACGATTAAGGAGTAAATTATAGAAATCTTACAATATGGAGTCACTTCCTAATCACCCTATGTATGAATTAATATTCGGTTTATTCGGCATACTCCATGCCTTATATCCTAAAGTGTTTTTTACCCGCCATCAAATATTGCATGCCCTTCAGCACTCCTTTAATTCAATTCGCTTCCTCGCAACCATTATGCACGAAAATCTTCGCATTTGAATATGGGTACAGTCGCTACCCAATGACTTCTACACAAATTCTGTTGGTCGCTAGTCGAGTAAATTCTCCTGAAATTCTGGAACAGCTGTTCAAGTGTATTCAAACTTTTCAGCATTAAAGGTGTCCAATATTTGCCCGGAAGGAACTCTTCCCACGGAAGTCCGGTAGCAGTTTCCCGACGTTGGAGGGATAAGATATTTGGCTAGCTCGGAAGAAACTTGGAAACACGGACTTGCGCATGTCATTGACGGTCTCCCTCCCGCTGCGTTTTGGCGACCCGTTAAAACTTATGTAAAAACGAAATCTAAACTGAATGCACCAATATTGATTTAATAGTGTCTAAAAACTACCAAAGTAATATGTAGCATAATTGAACATTTTCTATACAATCCAAGAAGCGACTATGTTTGATTTCTCCGAAAAGCAGTACTATATGCACCTGTCTCTAATGTCGTAACTCAAATCAAATCTAGCAAGCTGAAGTACATAGTGCACGAGTTTTTCGCTCTCTTGACGATGAATCATCCATAACTTTACGGCCAACTTTAATGTTTCCACCTAGAACATAAAAATCCCAAAGAATGCAAGCTTCCAATGACACTGAAAAAAAAGGTGGGAGAAAACTTGAATCAAGCATTCTTATTTTACCTTCACAATTTCGTCTTCATTAATGAAACTCTTGGCCAGAATACGTAACAAATCTGGAGCCAAATTGGGAACCTGAATTATGTGTCTTTTTACAAGTGAAAGACTCATTTCGAAAGAAAAAGAGCACTTTTTCTACGTGAGTTGCAATTAGCCATACAATGCAAGCTCTAGCCGGTGGAGCTTGGATGGATTGTATTAGTCGCGTCAAACGGGTTAAAAGAGAGATAGGAGCATCGGCATGAAGCAACCTTAAATCAAACGTACTACGATAGAACAAAACTGAGCACTTGTTTCAAAGTCTTCAATATGGTAATAAAGTGTCGTATTCAAAACGTGCCATGGGCGCATGTGGCGTAGTGCTTGAAGGCGCCACTGCGACATGCACATGGAATTGATCTCCGCGCCTATGGCCGACCAAGTCTTCCATCCCTGTGGGGGGTCGGTAAATTGTTACCAGACTTGTCTGAGAGGATAGCAGCATTGGCTCGATACATTGGTTAACCACCACGACTCATTGCAAAAGCCAGATATGCATTCAATCACCTCCAACGATACTTAATGAAGTCTAATGCATGACACATCCCTCAGGGATTGAACAATGCCGAGAGCTTTGTTTTTCTTTTACCCAAAAAGTGAAGTGAAATCTTTGTATGGACAAATGAACTTGGTCACATCTAGTATTTAAGGAGACGTTAATGCGTACACAAACCTCTTTAGAACCACCACAGCCGAGCAAACGACACTCTCACTTGGTGAAGTAATGAGCTGAACAAGTCCAGCTAAGCACTGGTCACTCACTGCTTTCACTCGAACAGCACATCTTCCAATTGCTTCAATTGCAGATCCACCAAAATCTCCCGTACTTACATATGTCTGAAACAAAAAATTTTTAAGCCAACTTTTTCCTATCTCAATATGCGGCACTATAACAGTGTGAGCACGTCAGGTGATAATAGAAACTACACAAAATACAATGAGAAAATGCTAGGCACCTGAAGTTCTCTAAGAATTATATGCACGTTTGCTTCTGACACTAGACTGGTGAGAATATGGAGCTTGAGTTCTTTCACGAACGAAGGATCAGATGATCTCACAAAGAATGACTTCAGGAAAGGATCGAAGATATTCTTAAAGAAAGCGGTCTTGAGTCGCACATTTGAAATTTCAACAATGTGAAAAAATAAAGCTATTTTTTCTTTCGAAATTTACTTCACAGCTATTGAAAATTTATAATGAACAAGTGATTCGTAAGCTAAGGAAATATCACAGTTTTAAACAGAATATGCGACACTATAACACCGTGAAACGCCTAACAATTCTTTCCAAGTTGTCGCCTACTTTTGATATTGCATAGGTACCAGGAAGTACCGGGTTGCACTCAGATATCGTTGCGATGTTCAGAAGAACAACATACTGAACTTCTCGTGGTCCTCGTAAAAGTCGTACAAGCGCACGAGCAACCTCAAAAAAAACAGTGACCTTAAATAATGGAGCTAAACTTGTGCTTTGAAGTGTAGATGAGGCTACCTGCGATAGTTGTGATTTGGGAGCAGTATAGTAGAACAGCTGTGTGACTGCCATTACAACACTGCAGTTCCGAGACTAAAAATGTTACAGCAAGACCTAAGCGAATCGTAAACCATATTAACAGTAAACAATCACACATTAGACCAAGCAACATGAATGAACTGAGATTTTCACAAAGTCCTAAACTTAAACAACAAACAGAAAGAGAACAAAACGTGCGAAACTGAACCTGTAAAAGCGGCCGAGCAGAATTAAGAAGAAGAGTAAGATCTACATCAGGCTGTGGTGCAAGCTCTGGATTAGCAAGTTCTGACCGCGCATATCTAGTGAGGAGGTTGATCATCATAACCTAAATTCGTGTGATTCAAACAAGGAAAATTGTAAGAAATATATCATTAGTTACCTGCCCCCATTCATCAACATCAGCTAAGGCGCGACACAGTGCACGAAAATGTTTATGAAGCAGGTCCATCCGATTAGGACAGATCTATAATATGAAAATTGAGACAAATCAAGATAAAGCCAATTGTCAAATCTCTAACCTCTTCAAATGCATACACTGCGCTACCTAAAACTAGACTACGTCTGTCAGCAAGAAGGAAATCAATACAATCTACCAACTCAAATTCTAAATCGCAATCCAACGAATAAAGTTTAGGAATAGCATGTGCTGCAACCTGAAATTCGAATGAACAACTTGGCACAAGAAAGCACAAATAATAATCCAAATGTTCACGACACCTTTCTGACGTAAGGACTCATATCTCTAACTGAATCTTTGATAGCCAGCAACATAATGGGAGCAATCATGCCTACCCGTATGGAGGACAATACCCGAAGAGCACTTGCTCTAATCAACTGATTAGGGTCCTGAACGAAATTTATTGGCACATCTGAGTTCATTTTTCTTTTTACAAAACCCTAAAACAAGTGAAAGTTACTACCACAAACCTTAAGTGCTCTTTGGAAGGTGCTAATAGATAATAAAGCCAAATCTTGTTGCTCTTCAGCATAACGGACAAGATAGACAAAAACAAGTTTCTTTAACTGAAAAGATCAATTGAACACTATAAAAGTTGGTTTAACAAAAATGGTGAACTAACTTCGATGTTTTTAGCAGCCACGTTTTTCACTACTGCAGGAAACAACTCGCTCACATCCTTGCCTTTTGCAATCAACTGAAACAAGTACCATTTTTACATACATATACTCTTCTCTACCCTTATTCATACTTTCCTCTAAACGGTTTACCGCCTCACTGTGGTTAGGAGGTGTTCCTGAGTATCGGACTGCGATGTACAGCGAGAGAATTCATCTCCCGGCAGGACCTCCTAAACTGAGGTCTGCGGTGTTTCCATCGGAAAGCCCAGTTAAGAGTGAACCAATACCAAGATCCACCACCTCCTGGTATCAAAGTCGCATGGTGGCAAATCTCCCTCTGATCCACAAGAACGGCAGCTACCTATGGTGGTGAAGACCTGGGGCAAACTTTGGCCTAACTGACCTCGAAACTTCAGGGAATCACGATGGCTAAACCAGAAAAAGGCTGAAAAATTGAAGACTATGCTGGGGCTTGCACAACTAGTGAGGACGGGCTATCCAAGTACTCGAGTAATTCGTAGTTGTGTATAGTAAAATACTAGCACGTTACTTACGTTGATGATTCTTTTCATTGCATCGACTTTCAAGCTGTCTTTACTACTATCCAGCATACTTTTCAGATCCGCAAAACGCCTAAAATTCTAAAACTACAACTGTGAACCTGACAACAACAACTACTTTCGATGGCACTAATAAGGTAAAACCATACTTTCCACACAAGCACAATGAAGATACTAAGTTCAAATGAAAGTTACAAACAGATGCAAGCTTCAATGATGCTGAGATATTTGCAAAGCTTTGGACAGCAGGCGTCTGCGATGGGGAACAAACGCGCTATGGTTCTTTCCGGGGAGTAACGCGTTCACCACCACACCATGCGGGTCCTTCGTTTCGCCTGTCTCTCAACTAGTTCTATCGATTTCTGCCATCAGCAATCACCCATCAGCGGGATTGTTACGTTAGTGAACGCGTTACTCCCCGGAAAGGACAATAGCGCGATCGTTCCCCACCGCATACACCTGCGATCCGGAGTTTTGCAAATATCTCAGAATCATTAAAGTTACTTTTCGCAATATACCCTGCCAACAAAAATAGGTAGTAAGTAAAACGGCTAAGATGCAAGCTTCCCTGAAAAAATGGAAGCTTAACAGAAAAATTACACGTTGATTTCAACTTTATTTTGCTGAGGTAAGTATTTAAACCTTCTCTCACTACAACCCAATATCTAAACCGCTAAGTGTAAGTCAGCATACAATTTCATTGTCCCATGTTTATGGAAAATTACACGACAACAATGCTTTCGAAGAATCAATTTTAAAATGGAAAAGACAACCTACGTCCTGTTATCTAGAATTACACCACCCTCTGCTATCTCCATCTCAGGACTGGTTAGTCCTTCTGGAAAGCCCATTCGCATCTGCAATCGCATACAAATCCCATTTACAACAGAAAAAGAGCCCATTAACATAAATATTCAAGTATTATGAACGTCAGAAACATTCCAACAACGAGCATCCTCAACCTTACACTATCTCTATTACTATATATAGATACACAATAATGCACATATTTTATATCCTTGATACGACACGATACTGCTGTGCATAGTACAGAAAAAAAAGCCGTTCCATAATGAGATTATAAACTAAAAAGGATAGCATAAAAAAGGAAAAGAGGATTTGAGCATTCCCACCCGCAAACACCAATAAAGAAGACAACATACATTTTAAAAAAAAAACATTTGTAGAAGGACTAAAGACAATTCCAAAATCATCACGACACAATCTATGCATTATAAGCTCCAACAGCTAGCAACAAATTTCGCCGTGTAAAATGCAGTCCGATCACTGAAGTCTGCATCGTTTGATAAGTGAAAATGTTGAAATTAGGCATATTGATCCTGGAATGAAGAAGTAAAAAGTTAAGTAAAAAAAGGCGTTTGAATAGAAACAACATATAGAAGTTAAAAGTGCAACAACACTGTTTAAAGAAATTGACAATTATCACCAATCTTTCAGCTAGTTTCCAATAATTCAGCCTTATAAAACTAAAACATTGATTGCAATAACAATGGCTTTGCCAGTAGAATGGTAGTGAGGAAGCTGAAAACAAAATCCTCAACTAGTAGGCGATCACCACGTAATATCCGAAAACCTTGGTGGGCAACAGACGGAAGATATCGAACTAAATGCAAGGAGTACTGGGAACACAGTATGCGACGCCGAGTCGTGTAAAAAAGAAATTGTATTGACTATTACAGGCACAAGTGGAGCACAGTAGTTAGAGATGGCCTGTAAAACAAACGTGATCCTTTGTTCAACTCTACACCAGGTCAACGAAGACCATTACTCAGTTGTCGGAAAAATAACACCAGAACTCCCACTCATCCACAAGTCGACTATTACCTGTTATCTTGAGAACAATCCATCACGGCTGGCCCGAAATTTCGGGAATAACCACACTCTACAAGCACCAAATTGTATTCACGAAGACGATAAAATCCCCATTGCCAGCAGCTGAATCGACAAGAAAACCCGAACACCATCGTAGATGAAAGATGCGAAACAAGTGATCAAATGAGAAACGTGTTGGAAACCATGCAGAATTTAATGATAAGGCATATTAAATGCAACTAAACAAAAAAGGAACTACCAACTTGGGGTCGAAGCAGAGCTCATTGTTCACAGAAACATTGCCCGTTGCGGCAATCAAATTATCCAGGGAATACACGGATAAGGTCTCGTCTCCCTGTGAAACAGCAAATGATCCACCATCACGTGAAAAGCAGATGGAACCCTATATAAAAGTACTTGAAAAACATTGCTAACACTAACCCATGGGTAACCAAGCAAAAAATGACGGTTGCGAAACAAACCATGGCTCCACGGAACTCTCGCGTTTCCATTCCTGATAATCTCTGATGTGCTACGTCCCAAACACAAACAGCCCCATCTCCTGCGGTTGAGACAATATAACGACCACAAGGAGAAACCTTGAATATATGTGTATGAGAAGACTGTATCCTATAAATAAATAGAGCTGGCGTGTCTTACCTTCACTGCTGTTACTCCTGCAGAATGACCACAGAATGTTCGCACACATGTACCGGTTAGTGCATCCCAGACCCTAACATAACGATCTTCACTACCTAAAACATATAATACTGCAAAACTAGCCTTACCAATACATTATTAATGCTGACGCATCTCCTTCGTGGAGTAAAAAGACGACTAGGAACAAAAACAAATGAACTGATTGGTTCAGCTACCTCCCACAATATAATTACAATTCGGATGAAAATCCACGCAATTCACTGAACCGTAACTGTCTGTGAAAATTCTCAAAGGATGCATTCGCTCAGTACACCATAGAGCTGCTATGTTATCTTCGCCACCACTACACATATAGTAACCACGATTGGAAAATTGCACCTAAACACTAACAGCATATATATAGCTCTCTAAATTTTTAATTTCCGCTTCAAAAATTTATAGGCCAGGTTTCGGTTAAGACAAGAGGGAAAAAACAAATGGAAAAAAAACAGAAGCACTCTCACTTATACCTGCCAAACTGGGCGACTGAGTCGATATACTACGACATTTTTATGCGTTTCTACACTCCAAAGACGAATTGTAGAATCTAAGGAAGATGACACCAATAAGCGATTGTCAGGTGAAAAGTGGACGGAGTACACAGAACCAGAATGACCCTAGAGAACGACATTTTTATTTTGAAAATCGTAAAGAATTTAGAATCGCATATAAACTAAAGTGCAAAAACTTACATGGAGGTGCACATCCGGTTTCGCATTTACATCATCATAAATTAGTTCTGGAAGATTATCCGCTTCCATGTCGATCTCGAAGAAAATGCACCATTTAACCTCCACAATATTAGCTTAGTAAAAACTACTAACACTTACACGTTCGAGTGCATCCATATCTCGCAATTTCTTTAGTTTTTGCTCCTCATTAAGAGATGTTAACTCTATAGAACCATCTGAAGACCTATAATTATATAACGTAAGTACTAAAGAATCTGTGTAGTAATATGAAACATACCCCATGGAAAGGATTGTAGTGTCATCGGATAGATCGCAGCAAGAAACACCTCCATATGCATTCAAAGCTGTCAACATGCACACAGATGGGGGAGATTCTTGAGACACTAACGTCAGTTTGGACGCATCCTCAAAACACAAAATTCTCTGTTTCTGTAGTTCTTACTACACAGCTATCTTGGAGGAATCGCTAGAATTTTCTGCAATGTACTTCAAAACAAAGGATTGTTTGCTATTCAGTACCAAGTCTAAACACTTGTGTGCTTTTAAATGTCATGCTTTGTCCTAAACAGATTCCGAAAACATTCAGAGAGAGAGAGAGAGAGAAAGAGAGAGAAAGAAAGAAAGAAAGAAAGAGCATCTATCACAAATGATATGAATGACCGGAATCATACCCGCATTGCTTTTCGTCGCTCTTCTCGTAAAGCTTCACTAAGTGGTGGAAGAGGAATCCTATCGGGTACTGGCGCTACAGCCTGACTCTTTTTACTATCTTTCGGTTCTTTCCCTCTTGTCTTCCTCTTCTCAATCGTTTGTGATACATCGTCTTTTAATACACCATAGTACATCTGAAAATTTCAACAGAAATTTAGACAACAAAACCAAGAAAGAAGTGATTGGTTAAAAAAATGACTTTATGTCGTCTCTCGTTCTTTGAAACCTGGCCAAGAATTCCACCCATTTGTGACTCAATGCTCGACCTGTGCTTGGAAATTACATCAGAAGCTAAAATAGAACATCTAACACGAATGATATCACAAGGAAATGAAGGAAAAACTAGTAACCTTCAAGTGTAATATGTTCCTTGACAATATTTCTGATCATAGGAGTTCGAGCTAAAGGGATTTCTAGTTGTTTTATTGACGACTTCGACATTTTGACCAAAAATCCATTCTTCCTGAAGCTTTACGAAGTTCCACATAGACTCAATATATCTGTAAAGAAATGCCTCACATTAGAAGCTGTACATATGAGTCTGCCTGAACTTGTTGAGCAGTTTGTAGTCGTTCTATTTTATACACCAGCTCCTCATACGGCGCCGGAATTCGTTTGCAATACCGCTTGAAGAACTCTCTAGCTGGAACGAGATGAATGAAGTTTGAATCATATTCATTCATAAATCGAATACCATGCTCGTGACGACTGACATCACTACCACTGTGCTATCCATGCCATACATATACATATACATTGTTACATTACATTACATTGCACATTATATACATACACACACACATTACTATGTAGTAAATCAAATGCCAGGATGTACCCCTACCATTAGTCACGGAACTATCGACCAGTAGTTTCACATACGAATGTGCAAAAATAGGAAACAGCAATAGACTAAATTCGGCTTGGAAAAAATCGTACGACGAATCCACAAATTGGACAAAGGATTCGAACTCGGATAATAAAGTCTCGCTGAAAACTGTGAAAGTGAGGAAACTTGTTAACAGAAAAGACTATGAAGAGATTAATAGAAGCCGTCTCATTACCTACTCGGAAGCGAAGATGAAGCCGTTACATCTTCACCCATTACGAGAAGATTATTAGCCTCTTTTGCAAGAGCCTCCTCTGTCTCCTAGAAATGCAAATATTTAAAATGAACTCGAACTTTAAAAAAAAACTAGTTCAAAGGAAAACAGATGAAACCTACGGAAAGTCCATTTTTCCTCAGAAAAGCCACCAAGATCTGCAAGATCTCAGGTGTAAGCTGCTTATCACTCAATTCATCTAGATAACCTTGACTTGTTCCTAAATGAGTTCCAGCACCCGATAACGTCAATGTTGAACCCATTTGCGAAGTAGGTCCACTGGTGTCCATTTTTGAGAGCAACCTCAGTTCAACTGACGGCTTTAAATCGACCGATGAACCGTAAGTCTTGCAACCTATAGAACTATTCAAATCAAAAAATTGAATTCACGAAAGCCACGATTACAATACCAAAACAAATACGATAACTTAAAACAAAGTGGAGGATTATTAACTGGACATTTAAGTTATAGCGAATAACCCCAGGAAACAGAAATGACCATAGTAGAGTAAAGACATTCGCAATGATAAAGCATATAAAGATGGAAACGAGAAGAATCCAATAAAACCCCTAGTTATACCACAATACAGAAGTTTCTGCTAAGTAAATCATATGATAACATGAAGCAAAGGAAGTAGAATCATCGGAAAAAGAAACAGAAGGATATAACTTAGCGCTAAAAGAATTGAGTAACAGTTTTAAAAACTATGCACAGAAAGAACGGTATAGTGGGTCCGCCTAATCGAGACTTGGTTTTTCGCCGAGGCCACTACGAATTGAAACCAACCCCTGCTAGATTTGTCCAAAGATGCTGTAAATCAGCTCACGTTGTACTTCAACCTGAACCCAATATCGACTAAAGAAAATCCTTAAAGAAAGGTATGAAGAGGGAAGTACATAAAGAAATACATACATGTAGACATAAATGTCACAAAACAACTCTCTTCAAGTTCATGTAAGAGGATAACGAAGGAAAAGAAACAAAGTGGATAGCGAGAGGAAGCAGTACCATTACTAGGAATCTCTGGTTAACTAAACTAAGGTAAGTTACTGGCCCACTCCTTCAGAGTCAAACAATGGACCAGAGAATATGGCATAAAATGGCGAACTAACTATGGAAGCCTTCTAACCAAATAAAGTAAAAATGAAAGGCCTCATACAAAGAATACTCTGCTCTTTGTATCCTTTAATTCTGGGAAAGTCACTAGGCAATAAGGACGACTTCACCTCTTTATGAATCATTGAACGATTAACACAACTGTACGTGACACTGGTAAAAGTCTATGTAAACGAAAAAAGCTGAAAACGCAACCTTCAGAATCGATTTTTGTTTGATCTCGACATGAACAATCAATAAGATTTTCGGCTAACGTTTTGAGCTCTTTGTCATCGTCAAAGTTGCGAAGATTCGAATCGGTTGACCACACATAGCCAATCGTCAATACTACCACTCATTCCATACTTCTACTTACCTCGTTAATTAGCCAATCGATACGTCAATACACCGATAGCGGTACTTTTTTCCAGAAGATCTGACTCAATCAGACTGGGAAGATCCACATCCGAAAGATGAATAGTTGTAGACGATCAACTCGAGTCGAATATGATGTTCTATCAATGAGCTTGCACGAAGCTTCCATAGAATTTCTTATTCAGTTAACGTTTTGACCTGTTCGTCTTCTTCAGAGCTGCGATGATTCGAGTCGACCCACAGCCATTCGTAGATCGAATCGAGGTGTACTCTATTCCAGAAGATTCGTATCGATCCTGTTATGAAGACCCACATCCGGAAAACGAATAATTGTGAACAATCGACTTCACTCTGATCATCGGCCCTGAAGAAGACGAAGACGTCGAGAGTTTAGCTGAATAAAGGTTGTATCGTTACTTCATGTAAGCTCATGAATAGAGCAAAATATTAGTGAAAATCTAGTTATAAGTTATTATAGTACGAATAAATATTCGTTATACACCTGAAAACAATACTATAGTGAAAACTAGGCGATCCTATCAAGCAAATATAAGCTCTGGATGGAATTCAAGGAATGTTTTTCTTTTACAAGAAGAATCTAATCGTAACGGATATGGGAAATGTATAAAACTACTAATGGTCATTTGCGATATTGTTTTAGCAAAGAAAATTCTAGAAGAAGAAAGGGTACCAAAAGAAAAAGGAGATAAAAATATGGCAAAGGCCGAAACAAGACAAGTTTCAAGGGACCCATCGACAGAAGAAAAACCGAGAAGTCAGAGGAACTGGGGATTTGTTACTGCTGAAAATCATAGGAGTAAGCCTGAATTACAGAAAGCAGTAAGGACATTTGTAAGCTCTGAGATGAAACAAAAACCGAAACGGGTCAAATTTTAGGGGTCCCACTGAGAGAAAAAAGCGAGAAATCAGAGAAATTTCAGATTTGTGACTGTTTTATGGCAACACGTTAGGACATTAATAAGGTTTAACATGGAACAAAAGTCGAAACGCCGAAATAGGGCAAGTTTTAAGACTGAAGATTTGTGACCTAAGCATAATAGTAAGTTCCGAGATGACGGCAGGGGGTTGTATTCAGAATGCATGAGCACGATGACGAGACAGCGTGAAATTCGATGAGAGTGACGAGAAGTCGAATCGATATCATGTGTGCTGATGGAGGCAAAGACGAGCAGCTAGAGCAACATCACTAACGACGACAATAGACGATCGATCACCCAGGATCATCGACGACATCCATGGAGAACAACACCATGTCTGAACTGAGCGCGTCTCAACCCACAATGCAGACGGCCACCACCAGCGCTAACAACCCGACCGGCGGTGTAACCGCATCGTCCGTTGTCGTCAACTCTCCAGAGCGTCGAGTTGAAGTTTCGATCGTCAGCAGTCCTGAGGTACAGAGAATCTTTCTATTGTCAGTTATTTTTTATTGAATGATTTAACGAGTATAGCGCAGTGGTCAAGGGCGCCTTGCAATACGCATGGGATCGATCCCAGCGCCCAATGCTCACCAAGCGTTCCATCCTTCCGGGGTCGGCATATTGCTACTAGACTTGTCTGGTAGGTTAGCAGCACTGGCTCAATACATTGGTAAGACACCGCGAGTCATTGTGTAGGCCAGATATGCATTCAATCACCTCCAACGGTGCTTAATGAAGTCGAATGCATGGCGCATCCCTCAGGGATAGGCCAATGTCGAGAGCTTTATCCTTTATCCTTGATGATTCGACGACACCTCTAGCACACAGCGCAGATCTCAGCACGTCTTGGATTTGATTCATTTCGTCGCGTTCCCCATTATCCACGAATGTCTTTGGATCTTCTCCTTTTCGGCGTGTGAGTTGACGAATGTCGCTGAATGCTGATCGAGTCTATTCCTCCTGGAATCCTGACGTAGCTCTGCTGGAGCATTCCGACGCAGATTAGAAGGAGTCAACTTGCTTGTCCCAAACAAGTCTGGTGCAAATTCCCAACTTGGGTCGGCTGAAGGGTTTGGTGGGTCTGGAGCGGAGTCGAACTATGGCCTGAGTTTTTTGGCGATTATTTCCTTTTTGACCTAACACGAGGTTGTTACCACGTAATCTGATGTTTGATTACGGGAGTATCTCGAATTATTCTATACTTACCTAATATGTGTGTTACTGTTCTATTTTACCTATTTAAATATTTCATACACTGTTAAGTTGTGGTTGTACACCAATACAAACTGAGACGATTTAAAGTGCTAAACAATTGTATTTACTCAAACAATACATTAACATATTGCAATCCATACGTCCTACATATTCATCGAACTAAATCTTCAGGAAACAGATGTTCTGCAACTTTTATTTAATGGCTATTATTCCTACAATACCAGGGTATTATGTGAGAAACAAGTAGAAGGATGCTAAGATATGAGCAAAACTCGAAACCTTAGCTGAGCCTCAAACTCGCCATTATCTTTGTGTGTGGCTCTCGTGTTATCCACTACACCACCGATTCATTCCACATAATATCCTGCCATGAAGAAATATAATAGGCAGTAAATAAAAGTCAAAAAGTTCTTTTTTTTCTGGTGACACAAATTTACTAATAGACGATTTCGCCTGCAGCTTAATTTTAATTGGATTCAGTGTTGACCTGTGCTCCAGAGATCATTCCTGTTGACGTACGATTGATGATACCAACCTTAGGGTAAAAAACTGGCTAAGAGAAAGGCATGGCAAAGGTCTCAATGATGCAATCGATAACACTTGAAACCCTGGAAAGCATAATCGCGAGTTCGAAGCTTATATGGAGTCCCGAGTTTTGCTCATATCTCAAAATAAATTCTGTTCACATAAAGATGCAGAGTAGTTCTATTGGTGACAAGAGGTTGGCTTAATGTCAGCGTTGTGATCAAATTCTTCTTTTAGAAGAAGGGGAAAGAAATGAAAAAAAGGAGGAAAAAGAACGCGCATCGACTCTCAATCTCGTACACAAATTGACTAATGAGGATTTTAATGATCTTTAAAAAAGTCTATTTTGGATGTTTTCGAATAATTTGAAGTCATCCGACTTATGTTGTTCTGTGTACGCTTGATATTAATCCTGATATATTTCCAAAACGTAATTGATTTCTTAACCTTCTGTAATAGGGATATCGGAAATTCTACCGTCAGAGTGGAACTATTGTAAATAGAATTGCTTACTTGGATGTTGTATTTCTCTGGGGTCTCGAGGTCAGACTAGCCAAAGTCTGCCTCAATTCGCTGCCACCATAGGCAGTCGCAGCCTTTGTTAATCAGAGGGAGATTAGCTACCATGCGACTAGTTTGGCAACAGCACCATCCTGGTAATGGTTTACTCTTAACTGGGCGTCCTGATGGAAAAGTCGGACTCCTCAGCTTGGGAGACCGTGCCAATGGGATGAATCACCTCGCCATATATCGCATCCCGACACCCAAGAACACCTCCCAACCATGATGAGGTCTTCTTCTTCTTCTTCTTCTTCTTCTTCCTACTCCTCCTTCTTCCTCCTTCTTCTTCTTCCTCCTTTTTCTTCTTCCTCCTTTTTCTTCTTCCTCCTTTTTCTTCTTCCTCCTTTTTCTTCTTCTTCATGATAATCTTGATAATACAATATCTGAGCATTATAGTATGCTGAGATATTTGCAAAACTTAGTCCCCGGGACAGATCGAACCACGATTTCCCCTTCTGGCGACTCGCGCATTATACATTGAGCCACAGAGGCCCTTGCTTTGATTTTCTCTTAGCTAGTTCTCCAACTAATGCTGCCATCACCGTCAAATGGGTTTTGTTTTGTAACTATTTCTGAATCTCATTCGTTTCTTCAACTTTCGACTTCGACAACAAAAGGGCACCTGTGGCGCAGTGGTCGGAGGCGCCTTGCACCACACACGTGGTATCCATCCCAGCGCCCATGGTCTACCAAGGTTTCCATCCCTTCGGAGTAGGCAAATTGGTACCAGACTTGTCTGGGAGGATAGCAGCACTGGTTCGGCACATCGGTAGGCCACCGCGAGTCATTGTAAAGGTCAGATGTGCATTCAATCACCTCCAAATGATACTTGTTGAGGTCGAATGCAAGCCGCATCACTGAGGAATTGATCAACGCCAACAGCTCTATCTTTATCCTTTATCCAACTTTCGACTTACACGAGTTACATAAGACTACATTTTGCTAACTGTAAAATAAAGTTAAACAACAATGAAAATCCTGTCTACCTCAATTTTTCCTGGACAGTCGGATATGAAATTTTCAATGCCACAGAGCTTACATGATTACTTTCGCATGCATTCGAATAAAACATACCGTGATTCTTATTGTTGGGAATAAAAAGGGTTGACGAATGCCTGGTTGGTGAATCTTAGACAATGTTTTGCTGGTTTCAGGAATCTTCTGTTTCTAAGAAATTTGGATTTCCAAATTTTTCTTAATCTCGTTTGTGCCATTTGTATGTCAACCGTTTTCAATATAATTTAACTTACTAATGTAATAGTTCCCAGGATCGACTTTCTCTTAACCTCGGCATCGGAATATGAATGTGTCGTTTTCTTGTTCAGCAATCGCGAGGTTTTTAAACAGCATACATTTACTTCCATAAAAACACAATACAATACAACGCTAGCTGACGTTTCGGCAGTATCGCCTTCTTCAGAGCCGCTTTTTCGTGACTTCCAATGAGAGTCGTCAACCACATGCGACTATAATCAGCTGTTCTAAACTTCCTCATTGGAAGTCACGAAAAAGCGGCTCTGAAGAAGGCGATACTGCCGAAACGTCAGCTAGCGTTGTATTGTATTGTGTTTTTTATGGAAGTAAATGTGTGCTGTTTAAAAACCTCGCGATTGCTGAACAAGAAAACGACACATTACTAATGTAATTTTTAAATTTTTTATGTGATCCGTCTTCACGTCTACTTTGCGGATCCCAGCACTTCTCACGTTCGATTCGTTTTCTTGCATACATCATCAACGAAGATCTTCCAACTTTTACGTGTAGCTTCGGCTGCTGCTTGAGGACTTTTCATTTCATCTTAAATGTTGTAGAATGCTGGTCGAGCAAGTCTCCCTGAAGTCCTGAGATAGCCGGGCTGGAGCGTTCCCAATTGGAATGCAGAGTGGTTTTTTCCCAGACAAGGCCGGTACCGATTTCTCGACCCCGGAGGGATGAGAGGCTTGGTTGGCTTGTTGCGGAATCGAACTAGCACCAGCTTCGTGACGACGGACATCGCTACCACTATGCTATCTGCCCCCTACTCATAATAAATATACATAAAAATCATCAAGTAGGTCGCTTCAATTTGTTATTATGTGGAAATCATATGACTGTTTTCTTTAGATTTTTGGTGCACACGATGCTGTTCTGGTAACGAAATCCTCGAGATCGCCAGAATGTCACGACAAACGACATATTGAGAGATACGATATTGCGGCATCACCGTCAGATCCTCGTCCACCGAAGAAACGCTACACTGGTTCAGAGTCATCAAGTAATGAACAGCCCCCAGGCGAATCACCCTGCGGGGCACAGCTTCCTCGAGCTGCTCCACCACCATCTGCATTCTGTGATGCACGTCAAGTACCAACGGGTTCGTGCTTTTTGCTTGTTTCCGGAAAATTTGGCGTAAGAGGTCTAGAACTGTTACCTGCACGCCTTGAAGTTTAAGTGAGTTCCTCACATAGGAAGAGCAACCATTGTATTGCCAAAAAGAACTAACAGAAACTGCATTGTAAATCGATTATTTAATGCTATGCTGTAACTTGCATTTTCAATGTATATCGGTTGACAGTGTTGTCACTATCTTTTATTTACTGTCCTTTTTAGTGATAGGGTATTATATGAAATACAGCCATGATTATGCTGAGATATTTGCAAAACTTCGGACCGCAGGTGTCTGCATTGGGAACGGGGGCGAACGTGCTGTTACCGTTTCCGGGGCTAACGCTTTCACCACCAGACCATGCGGGTCTTTCGTTTCACTAGTCGGCACTGGTAGATAGAAAACTAGCCAATAGGCAGGTGAAACGAAAAACCCGCATGGTGTGGTGGTGAACGGGTTAGCCTCAGGAAAGGATAATAACGTGATCGATCTCGATCGCAGACACTTTAGGTCTGGAGTTTTGCAAATATGTCAGCGATATTATGGTTGTGTCGATTCATTTTCCACGAAAACTATGCATTTCACTACCCTAAGTGAAATTGGTTTACCTAGAGTCCTAAATGTAAAAGCTGTTTCATATTTGATGAAACGGAAGGATTTAGGACGGGGCTAAGGGCGTTTACTAGCGCTAACGAAACTTGGAAGTAGTTTAGTGAATTGCCGTCCAAAAACTTGACTTGAGTTATTAGTTCAGAAATATTTTTTCAGGAGAGCAATTTCTTCAACTTTTATTCAATTGGCAATGGGTAGAGATCGACAATACGCAGTTACCGTCAGTGATGAGAGGCGGGGAGCGATTCGTTGCTGTTCATATGGTCCAGTTGATGCTACTGAGCAAATTTCCTCCTGCCATCCCGACAGAGATCATCTCACGATTCACTATGGTCTCACATAAGATGAGTACCGTTGAGGCATGGCAATTCAACGCCATAAACGCTATTAAGAGAAAGTTCGACCTTGGCTATCAGCTCTTCACCACTCAAGACGAGGTTGTGAGGTTCAACGACGTCCAGATGTTTTATTGGAATGTAAAAGCGTTGAATCTAAGTAGGATTATTCAGGTGACTTCCTAGCAATATATCAAACTCCTAGTATTAGTGATATGCTGGACTTTCTTTTAGCAATACGACGCAGAACTTCAACATACGAATGGAAACCTTACATTAATTGCCACAATCCAGTCACTTAAGAACCATGTAGAAGCTGACCTGGAGGTGAGGAATAAAAAGTACCACCAACAGCACATACCCAAATTCTTCAGCACGATACCTATATATAACCTTCATATGCTGATTCTGAAGCATTGCTTCCTTTTTCCCAACAACTATTCTTATTATTATCTTTTCATTTCATTCGACTGTTCCAGCGTGTTCGAAAAGAACTGCGAACGTTGGATGATCAACATCAAACAGCTACCCAGCATTCAGCAGTTCCACCGTCGGGATTACTGGTTTCAAGTAATGTTGTACCTATGGATGACCACCATAATAATCATCACCCATCCAATGGAACGGTGATCACATCGACAATTACTGAAACACAACACAAAGACATCAATGTTTATTCATAACTCAATAAATTTTATGGGAGAAGAAACTTAACACCTAGAATATGTTAGCGGGCATCTATAGCTAAAACGTACTACGGTATGAAATAATGGTCTTTGAAGGGAAGAAAAAAACGTTAACATTTTTCAACTACGTGCGCTTAGAAACGTAACAACGTTGCGACACTTGCACAATTTTTATATAGTCCTATCTTAACTACCGATATCTAGTCACAGCATTATTAGAATGCTACATTCATTGAAATGCGAGAGCTGTTTGGAAGTGCCCAATTCCAACCAATTTTCTAGAACACGAGCAAAATGTAGTGTTGGTTAAAGACATAAAAGAATCTCTGTTACTGTTAGTCTCTGAAGTATCCAGTGGTGAGATGAAGTTATGCAATGTGTAGTGACATCCTAGAGAGCAGTACTGTAAAATTTAAGAACCCATGATTGCCTCTGAGATATCAACTAAATCATCTACAGTTCAACTAGTGACAACAACAATTTAATTTACAAGGTAGTTCAGTCGCTCATTTACTTCATGAACTTCATAAAAGTGAGTTAATAAAACCGATGCTCTTTAAAATAATCAGATTAAGACCAGATAAAAATGATGAAGCTAAGACTAGAACGTTTCTAATGAGCAAAATGTTGACATTAGCCACCTAAGTGCTTGTTTCTCATGTGGAAAACATGAGAAACTTTTTCATTAGGATTATTGTACGACATATAGCTTTAACAGGGAAGCAAAGAACAGCACCAATTGAACAGCAAATATCAATCAAAGAAAACGGTGGGCGTGAACCATTCGTGTACAGTACGTATGTGCGTGCATCGCCGTACTGAGACTTCAAACGGTAGTACTTCCTAAAGTAGTTACAATAAAATAATTTTAATGTCACTCCCTGATTTTTATACTTTTAATGACATAGAAGATAAGCTCATAGCAGGTATGAGTGGAAATTTAACTTACAAAAGAGTAGTATGGTGAACAAAACCATGTGATTCATAGAAATTAATGGCAGGTGAATTAGTGGAAAGGACGTGTAAGAAAACAGCTTTCGGATATGGAGGACAGTCAACAACCTAAAATGAGCATTGAGATAAAACTACTAGCTAGTTGAGAACTAAGCCTACTTCAGGTGAATTCTTACTGAGTCCAGCAGATGGCGTAGTAGCCTTGATGCAAGACCTAATCTTCGATAGGGATAAGCGACGGCTAAACTCAACATGTAGACTACATGTGCCCCAGTGTCGGCAATTATATCACGATCCTGTAACTTTATTTTAGCAGCTACAAGAGCCTCGTGTTAACGAGTAGAATCAAGTTAAGATTACCTCAGGGTTACAATGCAGGATTGTTTTAATTTCTGCAACCATCATAGCGACCAACTTCTTATCATTGAACAGTCCTACACTAATTAACTCCCCCGAAACAACTTCTTGGAACCTGATAACCACGAAATTTTATGAATAGATAGAACGACGACACCAATTTTACCCCATATACATTTACTAAGTAAAGAACAAACATGTGATGAACATCTAGAAATCAAGCAAACTTATGTATTCATCAAAAGGAAAACCAAATATAAACTTAGTCTACGTTCTACTCCTTGTAGTACTACTACCTACATATCTATTTCACATAGAATTTTTTGCCTACCAGCAATCAGGATACTGAATTGGGAAGGAAGCGGCACAAAGCTTTTCGATTTCTGGCACATCTTCCTGCGTAAGAGGTCGCATAGGAATTGACTGCGCTGCTGTTCCAGTATCTCCTAATAATAGATCTTTCTCACCATCAGACGTCGAAATAGGTACCCTGAACAGCAGTTTTAAGAAACGAACATCTTTCAGCACCTAGAAAAAAAAACATTACATTGCCAGTTCCTTAAAAGGAAAAACAAGGGATTCTGGAGTCGTAGTGTTGTACTAGACCTAAAAGAAAATTGTTCAGTCAGAACAACAACGCTAGTAAATCCCATTAAAACTTAAACTGCAGAGATATAGTAGAACCATTAGGACACTGAACAAAACGCTATAATTCCAAACAGTTAGGAACTTGACCCAAGATTGAAATTCAAATATAAATAACACCAACCTTCTAAACACCTAACCCTAACTCTCACCTAACTTTTAAAAGAAAAAGGAGACCTGCCATTTCAATTCGAATCCGGCAATCGCAGGCCGAAAACGCATATACTGTCTCTAAAATAAGTTTTCATGTAAACTAATCCATAGGGAAACACTGAAAGAAACTGATATTAGAAACAGAGCATATGAAAGTCTTGCACGAAGTAGAAGGATGGAAAACACACAACTTTTCTAAAAAATACACCGAGAACACTTTATGATAATAGATACGCTTCGTAATAGAAGAAAAGGTCAAACAGAAACAGATATTTCACAATGGATAATGAAAAGAGCAGATTTGACCAGCGAAAGACAAACAACACAACTAGCATAATTCATGGGAAAACCACATGAATGTCATTTGTATGCATTCAGGAAACATTCCATAACTCATGCTATGTCGATCTCTTCTCATTAAAGAAAATAGGGGCACAGAGATATCCCCCATTGTCCAAATCACTCGCTGAAAAAGATCTAATGAGTTAAAATATCGAAACATGACAACAGACAACAACATACAAAATGTTATCCACTCTGTGAGAACGTGACGCATCTCTGCTTCAGACGCACTCTTTGGAATTATTATGCGACGAATGAACAAATGCTGAAATAAAGAAGCTTTCAAGCATTTTTCTGTATTGAAAAGAGAAGTTGTTCTAAGGAAGGAAAAAACCGCACGAAATTTAGTTGCCGCTCCGTAAGTGATGTGATGCTTCCCACTATGATTTTGTCAAGTTGACGCATTGCTTCACACCTTAGCTTAAACCGACGGGCAATTCCTGGTAGTGGAAGCATGGAATACACAGATGCTAAGGCTATCTGAATAGAACAATGATCTGAAGTAAACTAAAGCCCACAGAATGACCATTTTTGACATAAATCTGTTCATTTATAAAATATGGATTCTGCCTGCACATTGAAGTCACGCGATATAAACGACTAGCTACCATTCAACACAAAATAACGAGTAGCTAAGAAACTCAGGATTCTTAATATCGTTTCATTATTTAGCTATTTCCAATAGCATCGCGTTAGGTAGAAAACCAGCTGAGAGAAACGCAAAGTAACGGCCTCGATGGTGCAGTGTGTAATACGCGAGCCCCCGGAAAGGGTAATAGTGGTTCGATCTGGCCCTGGGTCCAAGTTTTTCGAACATGTCAGCATCGTTGTGGTTGGCAACAGAGTTCAAATAATATCACGAATCCAATCATTGGCAATAAGTCGCCATCTACAGAGTTGTTGAGCACTCACCAATTCATTCGCGCTCATTTGGTCTAACTCCGGCAATCGTACCTCTCCCATGGACAACGGCTGCAAAGGATAGTCAGGTTCCAAAGATGTTTTCGTAAATCTTCCGCAGTCATCTATGGCTATTCTTTAAACTTACATTGCCAATTACTTCTTTAACTCGTGACGAATTGGTCATGGATTTCAAAACTTCTGTTCGAAAGAACTCTTTTCGTTGGGCGTCAGTCCAGAAATGACGAGTCAGCACAAGGCGAGGGAAGAATATTCTGGAACAAAACCATAACTTTTAGCTAACTGCTGGCAAAAGCTTTCACATAAAAAAGATTTTGACAAGATAAAAATAACGGCGAAACGAAAATGAAAAAAAAAACGATATGTTAGCAGGACAAAAGGAATATGCAAAAAAGAGGTAAAAGCTGCACCGATTTTGATAATAACCCCCTTTAAAACATAAATAGTATCAACAATATAAGAAATTTCTTTTGTAGATACGGCCTTGCCTATATATAAACACACTGAAAATGTCGTTACACATACATAGAAAAGCCAATGACATAAAATCCAAAAGGCAAGGGCAGAAGCACAGCTGCTATCGCAACCTTTGGCAGATCCGCCGGCATCTGAAACCACTTCCCACGACACCAACCACTGAATGTTACAGCACAAATTTTTTACAACCTACCTTTCTTGGATATCTCTATTCTAAGAAGCTTCCTACCGTATAAGTAATGAAATCAACAGACAACAATAAATGTTGAAGAAGATTGTAGCAAAGTGAAGAAGAAAACGTTTTTCATATAAATCTTATATTCTATAAAATTATACATGCACAAATGACTGTACATTTTAAAGAACTGGAACAATTTGAACCACGCGGAAAAAATCCGCTGTGTGCACAGGCTAAGAAAAAAGACAGTAAAGCAGTCATACGTAGGCAACTTTACCCAGCGATGTATGAAAATCCTCTTCATTCCTTTTTTCTTTTTTTGAAAATTTATACGGCGCCAACTTACAGCAACAATATCAGGATGTCACCTGGGCCTGGAATTTGGAGCACGACGACCAACGCAAGTATTTTCGCCAATTCACCGCCACTCTAAGACTTTCAGCTCACAAAAATAGCAGAAAATTGGTGTAACGCTAATATAAAACAAGAACTTTTGGAGTAAAATAATAGACTCAGAAATATGTTCATACACCTTTGAGTTGAATAGAAACATCGTAGACTATACTGGTATATAGAAATGAATGGAATTATTTTTTAGCAATTAGAGGTTTTGTAGATGAGACTAGTCCCTAAATAAACAACACCCTCAAGTAATAGAATAGAGCCTTGAGTAATTTTTCTCTAAACTTGCGACAGAACTAAAAAGCAAAGCGTGGAGAAAATTAATGCAACTAGGAATTATTGCGAATCTAATTTAATATTTGCAAAGTAGAATTCCCACAGTCAAGTGATTCAAAGGAAAGAACCGACAGAAGCCAAAGTGAAAACTGCGCACCTGTACTAATACCTCCAGCTCATCCATGCTCAAGTCATCCAATTTTTTCGTTTTTGTAAAAAGTTCTCGTCTAACCCGAATATAGGTTTTGACGTCGGATAGACACCAACGTGAACCTATGGAGAAACACAGCAGTGTAAAATTACTGCGATTCAAAACAACCTATACTCAACATCATTAACTCCCACAGACCATTCTTTCAAAATATGTTGCACTGTGCATCCCCGATGCTCTATCCCTTTATCGTTCCTGCGCGATGGTTCTGAATGTCGAGTACTACACTATAATATATATATGGTAGTTTATTATACTAGTTTGCTTGCTTGGCTACTTGGATAACCCGTCTTCACTGGTTGTGCTGGCCACAGCATAATTTCCACTTTTTTTTGGAGTTTTGCTGCTTTAGTCATTGTGGTTCTCTAGAGTCCCGAAGTCAGCACATCCAAATTCTGCCCCAGGTCATCACTCGCAACAACTAGCAGTTGTCGCCCTTGTGGATCATATGGAAATCTGCCACCATACGACTAGTTTGATACCAAAAAGGTGGTGGATCCTGGTATTATTTCACTCTTAGTTGAGCTTTCTGATTGAAAGGCCGGACTCCTTCTCACCTTGGGAAACCCTGTCGGATGGATGAATCACCCCCTGTGCGTCTCAGCTCGACACCCAGAAACATCGCTCATCCACGATGAGGCGGTAAACCGTTGGGAAGATCTGTTATTATTACTGTATTATATTATTTATTTACGTGATACGCTTCACTGTTTTTATCTTTTCGTGTAAGCTGTTCGTTGTTCCAAAAAATGCTGTATGTGCTAACTTTTTTCAAACTTGAAACATTCTTCTCAAAAGCATGGAAAGTTAACATCTTTCGCACACCTCTCAGCCACGATGAGGCGGTAAACCGTTGGGAGGAGTAATTTATTATACGAATGAAAAAGAAAGTACACCACAAAAAGAAATTCACCACGGAAAAAACTGACCATCAACAACCATCCTATGAAGTGCATAAATTCTTGGCCACTTTGAGATGAATTTATCGTATCGCTCCGAAAATGTGCCAGGCTTTGGGGCGCTCGTGGGTGGAGGTCCTGATGAAGTCGATCTAAATTGTTTAATACTAAAAAAAAGAGTAATTTAAAATTGATGGATACCAGAATTAAGCACCTTGCAAAACATAATTCACGACAGGCCAGAAGAAATCGAGGATCTTCAATTCTCAGAGTCCTAGCTCGACTGGAAACTACTAAGATTGCGCAACGAGAAGAAAGCATACCTGAAAACTGTTATACTTCCATTTCAAGAGATTTTAGAAAGGTTTTCATCACGGGCTAAACTCAACGGTACGGCCTCTAACAGCACTGTCCTGAATGAACCTTCGATCTCGAAACAGAAAATGGAACAACTCCACTATATACTTCAGATAATGTATGCATATGCGGAAATATTCATTTAAAAGCACTAGTCCAAACATTGACAAATAAGGCTGATGTGTAGCTTCCATAATTATTTCAAAATGCATTTAAAATAATACTAAACTATTTCAGAAAACGGTTATCCTAAAAGAAAATTACCTAGCATGATTTAAGGAGTATTAGGAACTTGATTCACTGGAAAATGGTTACTGCAATGGAAAGGCTTTAGATATATGCCATATGGAGATAACAGTTATAGAAGATAGGACGCACACACACTTGACACTTGAACTGGCCGGCCTCACTGGTAGTGCGGGCCACAGCATCATCACCATTTAACGGAGATTTGCTGGTTAAGCAATTTCGGTTCCCTGGAATCCCGAGGTCAGCCTGATCAAAGTCTGCCCCAGGTCTTCACTACCACGAGCAGTCGCATCCCTTGTGGATCATAGGGAAATTCGCCACCATACGACTGTGATACCAGGACGGTGGCGGATCCTGGTATTGGTTTACCTTAGTTAAGCTTCCTGATGGAAACGCCGGACTCCTTCTCAGCTTGGGAGACCCTGCTGGGGGACGACTCCCCCAGCTGTACATCGCAATCCGACACCCAAGAACACCTCCCAGCCACGACAAGGCGGTAAACCGTTGGGAGGATAAGAGATAGTACTGGTAATAGAGTTATTCCAAAACTATTGAGCTAGTACACAGAGTTGCTAATGAAAATGAATGGAAAAATGGAAAAGGGAATGGAGTGGAAAATGGAAAAGATGTCAGTAAAAGACATCGTGGTGCAACAAGCAGCAAAACATCCACGAAAATGCTTACACAAATTTAACGGAAGGTACTGAGAACAATCTTCTATCACCACAATAAATGACTATAAAAACAGCTACCAATAACCTAAAAACAACCCTTACAGTCACTTTCAGGAGACATCAAGGGACAGAAGAAAAAAGAGATAAACGTGGATAATGCCTATCTTGTTACCTGCTAATTGCTACTAATCCTCAAAATATGTTCCATTTCAGTAAATCCTTCAGAAATTGTTTAGAAATTAGAGTGGATGCGAAGAAGTGGCCAAGTTTACATGGAAGAAGTTCTAGAGGGCTTCAAATACCCAGAGTGATACAAACTCAGTGCCGATGATGGTGAAAAGAAGAAATAATAAGGACAGCACACTATTGTATTATATATTATTTGCAACTATTATACACAGCTGTACTCCTGAATGCTACAACATAGTGAAACTGAAGAGATCTCGCATAGAAGGAGGAAATCACTCGGACTTTCTACAGCTAACAATATCTGTAGTGTCAAATTGAATAGCCAAAGTGACAGCAGAACCATGTGTTTCACCCAATTCGAGACTTAGTCATCGGGAGAACAACCTGAATCGCCTGCTGTTCCCTTCTTGGTCCTCAAGTGGTTTAAGGCAATGCCAGCAAAATCTCATCCTTCCAGCTCATATTGCTGTACCTTCAAACAAGAGTAATATAATAAATATATCTTAAACTCTTCTAAACTCGCCACACTCGCGTTGCCTACCGCAAAACTGCCATTATTCCAGGAAATTTTCCTGGGATAACATAACTACCAAATTCTATGGCAATAAGTAGGAAACCTCATTCAAATTTCTTGTGGGCCTCTATATCGGTAGACGAAAGACATGTAAAATAAAAGAAACCAAAGATAATTGTATGGAAACCAGATTGTACCTAGGCAGCAAACAACTGTGCAAAAATATTTATCACAATGAAAAACAAATATAGACGCAAAAGTATGTTCTATACAGAACAGGACTACACAGCTCGTGCTATTATTTACCTGCATAATAAAAAGACAAATCTTTTAATCAATCAAAGCCCAGAAAGGACAGTAAACATCACAGCCGAGACCTTCCTTGATTATTACAAAAGATAGAGAGGCAATAGTTACAAAGAAGAAGAGAACCACAAATAATCAATAGATATTTAAAAAAGAATGCAAACTCTGAACAAATTAAACCTAGATATGAACTAAACTCTTCCCACTGGAAAAATGAAGGTTAGGTAATCAGCCCAAGCCACACCTCGTGAGCGATAGCTCTGGAAGCATTTAGTTACACAAGGATTAATAGAAATTAAGACGAAAATGACAAGAACAAAACAAAAATCAGATACGACGTTGTTATTATTGGGTATAAAAGAAAAGGCAGAAGAAATAAAGTTCAAATGAAAACGTGCTCACCTGAAAAATGATTTCCCAGCCACATAAAACGAGAAGCCAAAACAGTACTCCTATAGTACTAAGAATAACATACGTACGGATGGTTGGAGTGATAGCAGAAGACGGTCGTATAAACGCTTCACCGAAAAACCAGACCACATTAGTGAGCCATACTAAGGGAAGACAGAACAATCCTATTATGAAGTATCTGCAAAAATGCTCTTTACTTCCTGAAACGTTTGAAAGAGAAGTTATACTAAACGTACTTCCGGCAAAGGTCGACTTTAGTGCTATCGCTCATCTGAGACAGATCCATGCTCAGAACTCTGAAAAAGCCCAAAAACTATCTGAGAACACATAGTATCATATCGAATCTGCCAATCATTACTATAAAGATTCAGACGTTAAGGACTTCCTTACGGCTTTTACAATTAGGACTGGCTCCAGAGAAGTCATTTCTACGCTTGAAACCTTAGGAAATCATTCATCCACTGGGCTCAAAAGCGGAAATGAGCCACCAATTACAAAAATAAAACCAGAAAATCATAAAAGTGCACAAAAGATCCGTGAAAAAATAGTGCCAGGTAAACGATAGGATGAAGAGGTAATGACGATCGCTGTCTTCTGCACCCTTAACAGAGCGAATTCTTCGATATTTCCATTTCGCTCTAATGTACAACTGGAGGAAGTCAGGTGGTGAAATATGCCACGTAGAGTTCACCACAAACACAAGTGACTTCGTCCAATCTAACATTTTTCGAATGCAAGATACATGATATGAATTCGTGACCTGGACTTGATCTCGTTTTTAGAACTCTCCTGAAAAATTTCAAAGTCGTAGGAAAAATCCTCGATTAATCCGTGAACGGTGCGCCACCCTCGCCGCACCGCTCCGTGCTTCCGCACACGCGGCGTCGCAATCCAACAATTGCGGCTTGGCCACGTCGCCTCAGCTCCCTGAGCAAATCGACGTGCCGAGGTATAATCGGCAGTGCCACAAGCACGTACTTGCGATTCGTACACGTTTTGTACAATTAGGTCAAATATTTACGAATGAGTCATTACTATCGCTTAGAGCACGTCCACCCGTTGTGATTAGAGCAGAAATATTGAATAGACCTCTCTTATCTTCTACGAATAGAGCAGATTTGTAAAACTATGTCCTATTAATTCCGACTAAAAATGAAGCACGTTTGCGGTTGCCTACGGTTTCTTGGTGTTCATGTAATCACTTTCCCTACATCTATTATTATTTTACCTCCCAACGGTTTACCGTCTCGTCATGGTTAGGAAGTGTTCCTGGGTGTCCGGATGCGATGTACAGTGGGGGATTCATTCCCCCAGCAGGGTCTCCCAATCCCTGTCCTGCGTTCCCATCATACCATCTAAGGATAAATCAATGGCCGGATCCACCACCGTCCTGGTATCAAACTAGTCGCATTATGGCAAATCTCACTCTGATCCATAACGGTGGCGATTTCCTGTGGTGGTGACGACCTAGCATAGACTTTGGCCTGGCTGACCTCTTGACTCCAGGAAACCACAATGGCTAAACCAGCAAAACTCCGAAATGGAAATTATGCTGGAACCCGCACAAGCAGTGAAGATGAAGTATCCAAGTATCCAAGTAAGAAAGTATTCCAAAAGACTATCAACTCGGATCATCGATTCTAGAGAAGACGAAGACGTCGAGATGCTAGCCGAAAGAAAACCTGTTCGTCAACCTCATGTTAGCTTGTCAGGAAGAAAATACTTATTCCAGAAAGTTTTAATTTAGAGAGATAAATTTCCCCATTACCCCTCTGACGACTTGGTGGAAAAGGTGCGATACTGTAGTTAGGCTACACTAGGAACTCCAATGAAAACCACGAGGAGCCCTACTGTCCCAAGCAACTGGCGAGTGACTAGATAGAATTTTAGGTTAGAAAGGACGTCATCAGCATCGTATCAGCACAATACGTATACAAAACGAGAATCTCTTGTTCTACTCTCACAACACAAGAATTCCAACCGCAGTTAATCCTTCAGCCAAGCAGTGGAAGGAAGAAGAGAGACATATATACAATCGTGTACCTAGTGCCACTTTTAATAAAAGAACATTTTGCCACAAATATTGCTGGCGTAGCCTCGTCGTACGGCTATCGGTATTGTCCATCAAGTCGTCATGTACAAGGTCCTACCGTGTCGACTGGACATTCTTCTTTAGTCCTTGGCATGAAAACCAGAAAACCACCAAAATCAGCTCTTGAGATTCGAATTCCTGCAAAACAGCGGCAATTGTTACTTGTGCAGTCAACCGACCGACCAAGGAGGATTTAGAACGCCCAATTCACATACCTAATATGGATGATTAACAAATGGTAATTGCAAGAGACCGTCGCATGAGGACATACAATGATACAGGCAGGAAAAAAACTATTGAGAACCCTTAAAGCAATGCCGTCGGAAACCCAAAGAATATGGTGTTCCGAAATTCACACCCGAGAGAAACAACCCGTGATGGTTCCCTATTAAGTTTTTATCGCTCACATGAAAAAGGCCAAGATTCAGAAACAGTCAGCATTTACAGCTGATTCCAGGCGAATTAGAAGCTCGAAATGCGGGTATTATTTACCATCCACATGGAACATGTCTTCAAAATCGTAGGCTGTTAAACGACCTCGTTGACAATCATCCCGTTCAAAGAGCATAACACCAGGAATCCATGCAACCATCCTCCTAATTGCTCGTCGATTAGGCTCTAGAAACTCTTTGTGAGGAGTAACCTCCTGTACATAGAGAGATGAATGTCAATCAGTTTGGCAAGTGGAATTTTGACAGTGATTTAGTTGCATGAACTACTTCCAAGACATACTTGTAATCAGAGAATTCTGCATGGAATAACGGTTAGTCCTTGCTTTAACGTCGACGACGAAGAAGCGTTCAGAAGTTACGAAGTATGTGGTATTCATAAAGATGCTGAGATATAAGCAAAACTCAAAACCTCAGGTCAGTTTCGAACCCGAGAATACCCTTTCATGGCGCTCACTTGTTATCCACTGTGCAGGACAAGGTCCTAGTTAAAAGTTAAAACGCCATTAGTGTTTGTAGCCAACAGAATGGACCCGTTTCTAGAACATAACTCTAAAAGAATGATATCCCTGATACTTATAATCGACCCTTTACCACCTAAACGGCGAAATGGCCCATCTTCATAATTTTACTTCAATGCGGCTGTTCACGCTTTGATGACAAATTCTTAGAAATCCGTTCCTGCACTTTGCTAACAACGTCGTCATCTTTCCAAATGCCAGTGAGACAGACGGTCATAAGTAAAGGAAATGGAAAAGGACAGAACTGCGTACAGGTTAGGACAACACTAAGCAAGACCTTTAGCGCAGTGCTAAACAAATCGAAATGAATGGTTTTCAATCTGCACAGTGGAATTTCAATGCAAGAAGGAACTATGCAGAAGAGCAGTCGTAGGCACCTCTCAGAGAAAGCACTCACCTCTATGACATGCTTCTCTCAGCTCTGCGAAGCAGAATAGTGGGTTGGCAGAGTTGATGTATGGACGAGAACAGGCAGACTGGGCTCCAGTAAGTTGGAAGCGCCATCTGATTGGACCAGTTGCTAGAGAGACAGACGTATTTGTGGCTCACGTACTCGTAGTTTGGAACATTTCATGAATCAAGAAATGATACTGGCAGTTGTCACTATGCTTGAAGCCGACCACCATCGTTGACCGCGATGGTAAGGGAAACGAGTGAATGGAAGATGTGTTGGGACCTACACGACTTTCGACAACGCGTTATCCAAGCACCCAAGTAAAATAAATAATCGAGGAAAATTACAACAAAAACGTCCTGCATCCACAACATCTTCAAACTGAGGCGGATTTATAGAACAAATCAAGATAACACATGGTTAAACATGGATTGCATAACGCAGATCAACCAAAATGCTTAATTCAGTAAATAGCAAAGCTCAATCAGTATAAACATAATACGAACAATGAATGGATCATCTGAAATGACGAGGTATCAAACAATTCCATGATATGCTATTAGCTACCTCTATTTACAAGAGTGAAGAAAGCAACAAACGAAATAAGATTGAGGACACAGACTTCGACATGGCCTAAAAATGACGTTGCTGCTTGTTTTCACTTCACCACGAGCAGAAAGATATCGTCATTTTAACAGAGTGCTGGTCTGAAAGTGTTACTAACTTGATTGATAACAGCAAAATTTGAACAAACATAAAAAAACTACCTGTTAAGTAAGCGATTGGTATCGTGGACCGCTATTCAAGTTGGGCAGAATTTTTTCAATTTTTCCCACCAAGTTTTGAAAACCTGGATCTCTCAACAGATAGGACAGCTCATTCTCAAGTTCCTCGGGCGATAAGGTCCATATGCAAGGAAGTTCTGTTTGTGCACTTGCATTTTTCATCTGGCGCTGCTAAGAAGAAACTGTTAAAAAATAATACATTTTAAAAGGATCGAGACAGCATGTTCATACACATGGTTTTATTGTAAGCGATCCGCAATGGTTTACACCTTCATTGAAGTTAACAGGTCTTAATGAATTTCTAACTGGCTATGCACACAGTCCCCAACCCACAACAGGGTCATGTAAATTGATGAAGACATTTACATTTCCATCCGGAATCCCATATGAATCGTGAACACTTTCTACAGCATAGCCCGGCTGTTGCACTTTGATTAGTAACCCGGTAAAAAAAGGGAATAATATTAAAAGTGTAACACTGTGTATTTCTTAAGCAGGAGTTCACTGTTGACCTAATGAATGACGGAACTACAGGAAATATGTCGTTAGAGGCGAAGTCAATTGGAACAGATGTTAACATTTCCAACTAACGACATATGTTCTGATGATGGAGAGTGAAACTGACATCATTTTAACGAAAGCCGTAGAAATAAGTCGGGATATTACTAAGACAGCGCACTCAAGATACCCCCGACTGATGGAACACTAGCATTTGGCGCCCTGACAATCGCAATTTGTATTAGAAGTGCGGTCCATTAACATATGTGTGTTCTCTCCATGCCGATGTTAAGTGTTGTTCGCTGTTAAGCGTACCAAAAAATCTTAAGATATATTGACCTAACTATTAACTTGACAGGGAATAAATCCAAAACCTTAGAAATTTTCTTTCCTTCCTATTACGAGTAATTTTTAGACGTGCTATATCCTTTAACTAAGAGTAAAAAACAGCACCGCCTTGTAGAAGAAAGCAGCTAAAAAACAAACTTGAGATAATGTTTACTTTTTATCTTCTGCCTTCTATTATTTTCATGGCAGCGTACTAAGA